TGGTTCAAAACTGGTGCTAGTCACCTGTAATAAATTAAAGGCTTTGAAGAATCAGATTAGCCAGTAAAATTCATTTGTCACCATTCTGGTCACTTTTGGGGATTTGGCCAAGGGTGACATACTGACAGCCTCTATGCCTTACAAAACACACAGAGGGGCGCCTGGGGGGCTCAGCTGGTTAAGCATCTGACTCTTGGTTTTTGGCTCAGGTCATGATCTCCAGGTGTGAGAGCCCCTCATGGGGCTCCACGCTGGGAATGGAGCCTGCTTGGTATTCTCTCCCTCCTTCCCTCCCTCTCTAAAAAAAAAAAAAAAAATAGAAAGGAAGGGAAATGACCATCATTTTGGGGGGAGGGTGGGTGGGGAGAGGGAGGAAGAGAACTTAAGCAGGCTCCATGCCCAGCACAGAGCCCCACAGGGGCTTGATCTCACAACCCTGAGATCATGACCCGAGCAGAAATCAAGAGTCCGATGCTAAACTGACTGAGCCACCCAGGCGCCCTGGGAAATGGCCATCTTGATTAAACTGTGATTCTTATATATAAGTCCTTTGTCTGATTTAAGTGTTGCAGGTATTTTCTCCAAGTCAGCAGCTTTTTTTCTTTATGGGTATCTTTTATTTTTTAAAGATTTTATTTATTTAGACCGAGAGAGAGAGAGAACACAAGCAGGGGAAGCAGCAGAGGGAGAGGGAGAAAGAGACTCCACACTGAGCAGGGAGCTCGATGTGGGGCTTGATCTCAGGACCCTGAGATCACGACCTGAGTCAAAGGCAGACATTTAACCAACTGGGCCACCCAGGCGCCCCTATGGGTATCTTTTAAACACTAGACATTTCTAAACTTGAAAAATTTGATGGTACCTTTTGCACTCTAAGAAACTTTTGTCTACCAAACTTCAAAAATATTTTTCCTCCTAAAAATTTTATAGTTTTAGTTTTTGTTTAAATCTTTTTTGAGTTTTGTATATACTGTGGGGTTAGAGTTGAGGTTCAATTTTTTTTTCCCATAAGGCTATCTATTTATTTTTGAACCATTTGTTGAAAAGACTGCTTTTTGTCAAAAGTCAATTAAAATCAACCCGGGGATCTACTTGTGGACCCTCTATTCTCTTCCATTGGTCTCTATCTATCCTTAGGCCAATACCACACTATCTTGATTACTATAGTGGTTTTTTTTGTTTTTTTTTTTAAGATTTATTTATTTGGGGGGGAGGGGGAGAAGGAAAAGGAGAGAATCTCAGGCAGACTCCCCACTGAGTGCAGAGCCTGAATCAGGGTTCAATCCCGCGGCCCTGAGATCATGACCTGAGCCAAAATCAAGAGTCGGACACTTAACTTACTGAGCCACCCAGGAGTCTCTTGATTACTACAGTTTTATATAAGATTTGCTATCAGAGTAACTTTTTTCTTTTCCAGAATTATTTTAGCTATTCAAGATTCTTTGTATGTCCATGTAAATTTTAAAATCAACTCGTAAATATCTGCCAAAAAATCCTGCGGGGATTTTGATAAGCATTGCTTAGAATCAACAGGGGAGAACAGATACCTTAAAAGCACTGTCTTCCAATCCTTGGATATGACACAAATATCCTTTCATTCAGGTCTTTAAAACTTTCAGTAATGTTTTGAAGTTTTCAGTATACAGGGTTTTTCACATTTAAAAAGATTTACCCCGGGGCGCCTGGGTGGCTCAGTTGTTAAACGTCTGCCTTCAGCTCAGGTCATGATCCCAGGGTTCTGGGATCGAGCCCCGCGTCGGGCTCCCTGCTCAGCAGGAAGTCTGCTTCTCCCTCTCCCACCCCCCCTGCTTGTGTTCCTGCTCTCTCTCTGTCAAATAAATAAAATCTTTAAAAAAAAATAAAAAATAAAAAATAAAAAGATTTACCCCTAATTTTTGGTGTTATGGAAAATTATATTTGAATTTCGTTGACAGTATACAGAGATGCAACTGATTTAATGTTGATTTATCTCCTGCAACCTTGTTAATTATTAGTAGTAGCATTTTTTTTTTTTTTTAGTTCTTAGGATTTTTTTTTGTATGTGCTCATGTCATTTGTGAATAGACAGTTGTACTTCACCCTTTCTAATCTACTGCACCGACTAGGACCTCAAATACAAGCCTGAATAGTGGTAAAGGCATACATCCTCATTTCAGTGATCTTGGGGTGGGGGGGGAAGTGTTCAACAGTATATCCTTAAATTTATGTTACCGCTAGGTATTTTATAAATTCCCTTTATTATGTTGAAAAAGTTCCCTTCTATTCATTTGCTGAGAGCTTTTATGAACCTTGTAAAATGCTTTTAGTGAACTTTGTAAAGTGATCACGTGGTTTCTCAATTTTGTTATTATGGTAAATAATACTAATTGATTTTCAAATATTATACCAACCTTGCATTCCTGAGAAAACCCCACTTTGTCATCAAGTTTTATACATTGCTGGATTCAAATTGCTAATATTTTGTTAATAGAGTTCCCTCCTGTTTTCTAAAATATTACATAAGATGGTATAATTTCATACTTAAATGTATGATAGAATTTTACCAGTGAAGCCATCTGGGCCTAGAATTTTCTTTGTGGGAAGAACAGTAATTCAATTTCTTAAACAGATACAGGAATATTCAAACTCTATTTCTTTTCATGTCTGTTTTGGTAATTTGTGTCTTTCAATAAAGTTATCTATCTCATTTGTCAAATTTACCAGTATATCGTATCTAAACAAAGACAAAGGGGACAAAGGCTGGTCCTTCCTTTGGGTGAGGCCAAATTCCTTACCGCACATTGCCTTTGTTATTAGGAGAGCCTTCCGAGATCAGACAAGACGGGCACGCTCAGGGTGGGATGGCCATAGACTGTTATTAGGAGAGCCTTGGTGACGAATGTAGGGGTGAGGAGTCATGATGTCTGCGACCGACTTAAAAGAGGAAGAGAGCAATATGTAGCAGACATAAAACCAGTGAAGACATATGGAAATTTATTATACTACTTTCACAACTCTTCTATAGATGTAAAATTTTTGAAAAATGTTAAGTGATATATTCATATTCTATAACCCAGCAATTTAAAAATAGAAATAACCAGAAAATCACACACATATTCAGCACAAGGAGCTTTATCACACATCAAAGTTTGAAAACAACCTAAACATCCTACAAAGAGGATCTGATAAACAAACGACAGTACATGACACCAAACACCCAACAACAAAAACGAAATCACATTTTTTCCTCAAGAGTATCTACGTGGAAAAATTTCAGTATAGACGATTGACGGAAAAGGCTGCAACACTGAATCTATGACCCCATCCTGTTTGCATAGGAAAAAAACTGCAAAACAACCCCGTGAGCTAAATGTGGTTGTCTCTGAGGGCTGGTGTCACAGGTGAACTGGACTCTTCCTCGCACTCCTTTCCTCGATTTCTTAAAGGATCCCAGAGACTCTCATCACTCCAGCAGCACCAGAAAGGAGAGCCTGCATTTACTTAAGGGTTTAGTAGGCCAGGAGGCATGGTCTGGATTCACCCAAGTACAGGGAAGTTCTAACTGGCCACTAGACAGCCCAGCAGAGCAGAAACCACCACGGACTGGACAGACGCCTCCACTGTGAGATCTGGTCTCACTCCCTCCAAGACAGGCAAAGGTTGGGAGACTAAGATGGTACATATGAAAATGGTAAAGTTTCATACAAATGCAAAAGCAAATGCTTTTCTACTTTGTTCCACGAGTACATTCATGGACTTGGTAGCTCTTATATTATAGGAAATCCAGATGGAACGATGAGGTCTCAAGTTTAGAGATCAGAGTGGAGATTTCAATCTGTGCTTCCTGCACGGTTCTGGGCCAAAGGTTTAGCCTTTCTGAGCCTATTCCCACCCCTGAAAAACTGGCATGATGAAGATAATTTGTAATCACTGTCCTTCTGTATCAAAAGATTTTTGTGGAAGAAGTCTGTGAGGGCGGTCTGCAATCTATGAAGTACTTTGTGAGGTTAATATTCTTTTAGGGCATGAGTGGTCCAAAATGCCATAATATCTTTGAAGAGCTGGCCTTGGTGAGAACAGCATTTCAGGGCACCAATGGGCGCTGACACAAGAAACTTCAGGGCGGACAGTGTTCAGGTTGACAAGGACAATCGGCTTCATTTGACAGGCAGCACGGAGTACCTGGGATCCAGAGCTGACTGGTCAAAGGCCCTGCCAGGGAAAGATTAGGAGGGTAGGAACCACCCCTACAAAGGGGAGGTGAGTATGTGAGAATCCTTTGTTTTCACCATAGACCTAAACATTCTGCGAAGCTGTATTAGAGAATATGGTAAGGAGCTCACACGATACCCTCCGTGCACCGTGCGAGGGGAACACTGCCCCACGCCCTAAAACCTGGGGCTGCCCTGGGCCTCTGGAGAGGGCTGCTGCATCATCCCTGAGCACAGTGCTGACTGTGTGGGCTGCACCATTGTCTAGGCTGCAAAGTGAGGAATGAGCGCATTTCCTCTTGAAATGCCCATGTAAGCCAGCTGGCAACCACGTTAGTAGCAAGATGATCTTGGCAGGGCGTCAGAGGCCAGTAATTGGACAAAATATCTGCCTAACCTGCTGCTGGACATGTGGCAAGAAGATGCAAAACTAGCTGTAGAGGAAATATTTTTGTTTTTCTCTACCCTTTTTTTTTTCTCCCTGGAATGCCAAGGACAAATCTTTCTGGGTTTGGGGTCAGTGACAATACACACAGCAAGGAGCTCAGCCTCTCACACCAAGATTCCTTTGACAAAAGCGATCTACTCTTATGAGTGTGAAATCGAACCATTTATTTGACTAAATCACTGTCACCCAGATACACTAAAAAAAAAAAAAAAAAAAAAAATGCCCCCCACCCCGCCCAAAAAACCAATTCACTGCTTTCTGCATTAGGAATAATGAAAGCAAGAAATATTGTCAAATCGGGATGTTGAGAGGTAGGCTGGCCACTAAATCTGTAAAAATAATACAAATGCAAACGCCAGAGGTTGAATTCAGGCAATTTATTGTAAACAGGATTACCCTAGCACTCCACCATACTGGCTGTGTCACATGCTCTCCCTTCCACATCAACTAGGCGAAAAGAAGACTTTTTTAAAAAGTCGTAAGTAATAACTTAGTTTGTTTCCCACAAATCTCATTTACTAAGCACTGAGTAAACAGCAGTATCCGGGATAGTCTGTTATTGCTCATGGACTGCAGCTTGGACCCATTTCAATGAATCCATTGGTATGCCTGAGTGATCCAACAGCAGCTCGAGATCCGATGTGGCAACCGGACGATGCTGGAACACCTTGCACAACAATCCAGGTTCCTGGAAGACTACATGAGATTCCTTTCAGATTTCTTCATGTGACTTTCTCATAAAAATGACACTGTTAAATTTCACCCATTTTTTTTTTTTAAAAGAGCTAAAAATTACTCCATAGCACATAATTCTCCACAGAAAAGGTAGGTGGATTATTTACTCTTACAGTGGTGGATTTAAACACTCAGGGCTAATTTTAGATCCCTCTTGTATATATTTGCAGTTTGATGAAAAGCTGCATAGTCTACAAATGCATAAAACCAGAAGGAAGTGATGGCTCACGCACCTTCTGATGGACAAAGACAGGCTTCCCACAAGGAAGCTCCTGCAGGTAGGGGTAAAAAGACGGGTACAGCACCACGTTTATCTGACAGTGGAAATGGAGCCCCGCTTTCGAAAGCAGCCTCCACAGGTGTGATTCTATCATACTTGCCCCAAATGTAGATTATCCGGGAAATGGCAAGTGTGAAAACCTAAGGTGTGAAAAGACATGACTCTACAGAAAGAAGTCCTGGCCAATCACTCCCGTAGAGGTAAGATGTCATCGTAGAATGCCATCCTGTTCTTTGCCTGAGTTAGTGGACAATGGGGCCACGTACTGTTACTAGTGCCTGGGTGTGGAAGGATATTCACAATTTCTCTTGAAGCAAGGTTGAACAACAGTAAATATTTCAAAACAGCTGTTAAATCTACAGTAACAATTTCATCTAAAATAGTATCTCATGAAAAAAATAGTTTTTAAAAGTCCACTCCAGTCTTCATCTCTGTTTGTATGTTTATATTTATATATTCAAAAAATAACTTAACACTTAAGGCAATATTAGACTGGTAGCAAAAAGGGATTTTAGAGTCTTCTGGAGATGACCCTATTTAAGAATCAAGGCTTTATTTTTTTATACCTTCAAAAAGGTGGCTTTGTACTTGTTGTCTTTTAAATTCATAATGGGGCAAATATTTCGGTTCATACACCGACTGCAATATCATGGCAGTAAAAAGTTACAAGTGTTTATAATAGCTGATGTTGGAAAAGCATGTCACACACTCAGTGGGATCTGAAGTTGACCCTATTTGTACTCATTAAATAAATACTAAAAATGTTTTTGATGGGAAAAGGTAAAACTGATGGAACACTGCAAACCAACTATGAACAAGAATGTCAAAATAATTCAATCAGAAAGAAACAAATCACAGTAATCCTGAGAAATTCAGTTTGGGACAAAATTGATGTAAGTCTATATTTCTAATGTTGTAAATAAGTAGGGTGTTCTAGGGTTTTCCAGCATTTTACTAGTTTGAATAAAAAACATGTTCAAATTTTATAAAAAGATTAAAACCATGCCTTATGTAATCAGCAATTTCACTTATAATAAAAGAAAATTATTTTAGCTTTGTTCATTATTTGCCCAATGTTAATGTTCTCCATTGATTTACATGAAACCACCAAGTAGAAAGCAAATCTAAGGATCAGTTTTTAAAAAGGTATTACACCTTTCTAAAGGTTTTAAAGCCTTTTCTGTCAACCTAGGAGGCTTTTAGGGGAAAAAAAAAACCCCTAACATATTGTCTTCTGACAAGTGACTATTTTACGGAATAGGGAAGGGAAGATTCTATAGGAATATCATTCATCATTTTAAGTACTGTTATAGAAGGGAAATTTCTCTTAGTAATGGAAAGAAAAATTTTAAAATATTTAAGAGGCATGTATTTAAAAAATATTCTACATCTATAAGATTTTGTAATTTAATTACTTTGGATTTTTACTATTTCTACATAATGACATTTGACAAACTCCTTTTTTTTTTTTTTTTTTTTTTTTCTGTTTGTCTCTCGAATAGTGAACCAGAAACTATTAAAGTGGCCGAGGTTGTTTTCCTAGCCCCTGGAAGGCTCAGGGATGCATCCTTCTGCACTTTCCCACCCTTGAGGAATCTTCAGAGTTTTGCAGCCATGAAGTTAATATGTGGTTTCACAAGGGGAAACAGTGGCAAACCACGCTTGAACTCAGTCATGTTCTGAATCACTTCAGGCTGCAAAGAAAAAAAGTTCTCTTAGTGTTTATAGTCTAAAAAAGCAGACTTACTAGGACATCAACTTTTTTTTTTTTTTTTTTTTTTACATACACACTAGTTTCTACCCACATACTATGATCTGATCTTCCTCGATCAGTAGGGCTGAAGGGTCTATGCAAACCTACGGTGAGCGTCCCCAGTGGGACCCAGGGCCAGAAAGAAGACGCTTGGCTTTCCTCTGGGCACACAAGGTTAGGACACAAGAGCTGGCACTCAAGTCTCCAGCAGGATGCAGGGGCTGGTGTACCTACTCAGCAAGGGCCTGGTCACACTGCCAGTTTCCTCCTCCTACCAGTAAATGCCAACCTTTCCAGATGATTAAAATATGATGGCACCATGGAAGGGGCTAGGTACCGACATGGCTGAAGATAACTCTCTGGAGAGCAACATAACTGTTCAAACTAGAAGCAAAGGCAAACAAGTTCAGAGGCCCAGTCTGTCTGCAGATGACAAAGGCATGACCCCTGGAAGCTGTCAGAATGGCGACCCGGCCTTTAAGGAGAATGTAGAGGCTCAAACGCCTGGTGACTGGAAAACCTGTCCTGATGAAAAAGCTCCTTCTAAGTAGGAAGTCCTCTAACCATGTAATCTAACATGACATTTGCATTTCTTACTTGTGGCAAGGCTGGTGCTTGTGACAAATTTATATCATTTTGACATGGGAACTCTCCAACCACAGGACCTAGAAGAAAATGAAAGGTTTACTGCTTACTTAATAAATACTGGCATACAAGGGCAACTTGAAAAAAAAATTTGAAACCGGACTTGGCTCATTAAGAAACTGTACCAGGCCCATGTCCTCTCAGGCTTCCTGCTCCCTAAGACCTTGACTGCTTGTCCTACTTCCTACCCAGACTGTCCCCAGTGATGGTTCATGATGTTACTGTGGCTATAAAGCCTTGCCCACAGCAACTTTGGTGCCCATATCTGGCCTCACCGGACCCTGAGGCTCTGACCACCAGGAAGGATCCAGTAAAACAACTCAGAAGGCCAGGGGAGCCAATGGTTGTGGGGTAAACCTCAGCCACTCAGAGACAGAAGATGGGAAGGACTGAGCAGATAAACTGCATGCAGTGGTCCCACACAGTTTCTTCAAAGATATCCTGTGTTTTCTTGAAAAGCTGTGACCAGCTTGGCCACCTACTGCTGGCTCTCTCCTTCACTGCCTCATTTCCCTTTGCCCCTTATTTTTGCTTTGATAGGGCAGACCCTGCCTCCAGTTAGTCCCCTTCTCTACCTCTTTACTCTCTGATGCTCTATTAAGGGATGTGCCAATGGCAAGGGACAACCATCATGTACCTAAAAATATACTTTAAAAAAAGTCAACATTCAATACTTACAAGAATCCATTTCCCTGGCAAGAACATGGACGGATACCTTATGTCTCCTTGGGGCATCTACTGCCAACATTTCCTAGGCAGAAAGAACAGCAGGTGACACTTCTGCCCCACTAAGGAACTTAAAATGAAGTACTCTATTACGAATATCAAGAATCAGCTCTCACATAGCCAGAAACAGAAAAGATGTTTCCCCCCACTTAAGAGTATTTTCTTTAGGGGCGCCTGGGTGGCTCAGTTGTTAAGCATCTGCCTTTGGCTCAGGTCATGATCCCAGGGTCTTGGGATTGATGGCTCCCTGTTCGGCAGGAAGCCTGCTTCTCCCTCTCCCACTCCCCCTGCTTGTGTTCCTGCTCTCGCTGTCTCTTTCTGTCAAATAAGTAAAATCTTAAAAAAAAAAAAAAATGAGTATTTCCTTTAAACTCTACAAAGATTAGGTACAGTAGGCAAGAATTATTGTTAACCCCATTTTACAAATGAGAAAATGGAGTCCACAGAGATTAAGTGATATACTCAAACTCCTGTAGTTAATAAGTACCTGGGCTGGAATTGAAAACATAGCCTAGTACTCATCGGGGTGTGCCGCAGGGCTATATCTAGTGATCTTTTTAAAAAAATTTTTTTATTGTTATGTTAATTACCGTACATTACATCATTAGTTTTTGATGTAGTGTTCCATGATTCATTGTTTGTGCATAACACCCAGGGCTCCATGCAGAACATGCCCTCTTTAATACCCATCACCAGGCTAACCCATCCTCCCACCCCCCTCCCCTCTAGAACCCTCAGTTTGTTTTTCAGAGTCCATCGTCTCTCATGGTTCGTCTCCCCCTCCGATTTCCCCCCTTCATTCCTCCTCTCCTGCTATCTTCTTCTTTTTTTCCTTAACATATATTGCATTGTTTCAGAGGTAGAGATCTGTGATTCAACAGTCTTGCACAATTCACAGTGCTCACCATAGCACATACCCTCCCCAGTGTCTATCACCCAGTCACCCCATCCCTCCCACCCCACCCCTCACTCCAGTAACCCTCAGTTTATTTCCTGAGATTAAGAATTCCTCATACCAGTGAGGTCATATGATACATGTCTTTCTCTGATTGACTTATTTCGCTCAGCATAACACCCTCCAGTTCGATCCACATCGTTGCAAATGTATATCTAGTGATCTTAATGACTCCAGAGGCAATGGCCTGAGCTTAGTCAAGGGACGAGCACAACCTGCTCCTCTAAGAACCTTCTTAGATTCTGCACCAGGGCACTACCATGGTTCCTCATCTACCAAAAGAGAAAGGAAACTAACATTTCTCGAGTCCTAGCTTGCATCAGGCCCTCTTCTGCATTAGCACACTTGATTCTCTGTAGGCTAAGTGTCACGATGGTCTGATTTTAGAGACACAGACTCTGAGACACAGGGCGGTATGATGACTTGCTTCACGTAGCTCACAGTGATGGTATGAGAGAAGCAAGCTGGTTCTCTCCACTCCACCAGGCTGCTTTGAAGGACTGCCCTAGGTCCTACCATGAACACCAGGACTGGTGAGTTGGTAGATCCTGTGGGAAAGTGTCTCTTGACCTTGTCCTTAATCTGGACCATTATCGGTTTTTTCCAAAGGGAAAAACAAGTTGTGATGAAGCTTTCCCTGATTACAGCCTCAGAGGGAGAGGTCGTGGACAAAGCCACAGCAGCTCACTCACTGTTTACGGAGCAGTTACGACAAGTCCTGTGCAGTTGCAGTGGAAACCCTGCTGCCGGTGCACAGCAAATGCGCCCGTGGCTCCCTCCCGTGGCTCCCTTTCACGCCCACAGACCTGCCCTGACCCCTCCAGCCTCTTTTAGGAGCTTGGCCCAGGTTTGCCTCCAGTAACACACAGTACCTCACCTAAGATTGTCTCACCTACTGAGTAAAAGGTTTGCTTCCAAAGATCTAGTCACCATCCCTTTTCACCCAAACCTTCACTGCCCTCTTATCAACCTTTATCAGTAGAGCGTTAACACCCTCTTCAGTTTCAGACTAGTCTCAATTTCCCGACCAACGCTAGACAATCTCCATCTATCTTTCTATCTTCCTTCCTTCTCTCTAAGATTTTATTTATTTATTTATTTGTTTGTTTGTTTATTTATATGAGAGAGAGAGTGCGAGCCCAAGAGCAGGGTGAGGGGCAGAGGGAGGAGCAGACTCCCCATGGAGCAGGGAGCCTGACAATGTGGGGATGCCATCCCAGGACCCTGGGATCATGACCTGAGCAGAAGGCAGACGCTTAACCAACTGAGCCACCCAGGTGCCCTAATCTCCATCTTTTTAAACACAAACCAACCAATAAACAAATTGCATTTTCTTGCAAACTGTATTCTAAGGAACACTGGAGTCCCAGGAGATACTTATAGGTATTTTGTGGGGAGGGAAAAAAAAAAAGAAAAAAAGATGCATGGTGAATCAATTTAGGAAGTTTCGTGAGTCAGGGGCGCCTGGGTGGCTCAGTCAGTGAAGAGTCTGACTCATGGGTTTCGGCTCAGGTCATGATCTCAGAGTTGTGAGATCGAGCCCACGTTGAGCCCTGTGCTCAGTCAGCTTGGGATTTTCTCTCTCTCCCTCTGCCCCTTCCCCGGCTCACACTCTCTCTCTCTCTCCAACTAATAAATAAATAAAATCTTAAAAAAAAAAAAAAGTTTTGTTAGTCAAAATTAAACGCTAGGCTAAAGAAATCTTTATTGTGGGGTTTCTTAGAACTTTTAAAATGCTAACACACTCTGTGATTCTCCAAAAACAAGAATAAAGAGTATAGTCTTTCCCAAACTTACATGGTCATGAAACCCTTTTTTGTAGGGGCCCCTACTAATATCTTGCGGAACACTAGTGTACCATGGAACACAGCTAGGGAAATGATGTTCTAGACTTAGCTTAAGCTTGGTAATTAAACTCTCATTTTTTAAGACAAGAAAGAGTCTTATAACTGCTACTCTTACAAATTCAGTAATTAGGTACTACTTGTAACTTCAAATGAATAATAGAATTTGTGGCGGGAAAGAGAAAAATCTTCATTGCTTGTGGAAACAGTAGAGTAAGTTATATTAGGACATCACTCTTTTTAAACACCCACAACAATTAATGCCTTAAATGAATGCTTTAGAAACCAAAAAGAGCTGAACACGATCACCCTTTCTTATAAGCCACTGGGAACAGAAACCTAACTTCACAAAGCAAACAGTCTGAAGCAATAAACACAACTAAAACTTGTTTTATAATATCAATGAGGAAAACATTCTGATTTAAAGCATTCTGATTAAAACACTTAAAAAACTCAGGCTGAGAATTACTACTGAAGAGCTAACAGCAACAGAGACCATTTATTTTTTTATTTTTTTTAAAAGATTTTATTTATTTATTTGACAGAGAGAGAGAGACAGCGAGAGAGGGAGCACAAGCAGGGGGAGAGGGAGAGGGAGAAGCAGGCCCCCCGCCGAGCAGGGAGCCCGATGCGGGACTCGATCCCAGAACCCTGGGATCATAACCTGAGCCGAAGGCAGCCGCTTAACCAACTGAGCCACCCAGGCGCCCCGACTTTTTGATTTTTTTTTTTTTTAAAGATTTTATTTATCTATTTGACAGAGAGAGACACAGCTAGAGAGGGAATACAAGCAGTGGGATTGGGAGAGGGAGAAGCAGGCCTCCTGCTGAGCAGGGAGCCCGATGCGGGGCTCGATCCCAGGACCTGGAATCATGACCTGAGCCGAAGGCAGACGCTTAACGACTGAGCCACCCAGGCGCCCCCCAAGTGCCCCTTTAAAGATTTTATTTATTTATTTGACAGAGAGAGAGAGAGAGAGACAGTGAGAGAGGGAACACAAGCAGGGGGAGTGGGAGAGGGAGAAGCAGGCCCCCCGCGGAGCAGGGAGCCCGATGCGGGACTCGATCCCAGGACCCCGGGATCATGACCCGAGCCGAAGGCAGACGCTTAACGACTGAGCCACCCAGGGGGCCAACAGAGACCATTTATTAAATGCTAAGTGCCAATCACTTCACGCACCTCATTTCAATTAACACTCCTATTAATCTCTATTTTGTAAATAAGGAAACTGAAGCTCAGAAGCTCTAGTCCCTGGGTTTTCATTCAGAAGCCACACGTGCTCCTGCCACTGCTTCACGGGTAAAAGAGCTTCAGAGAAGGTGAGCTGACCGAAGCTGCAGCTCTAAGCAGGGCAGTAGGTTCAAAGCAGTAACATACAACACGGCACAAGTAACAGCTGCTTATGAGTCAAAATCTAAACATGTAAGTTCAACTTACCTTGTAGAACTTGATGATATCTTCCTTGGTAAGTGTCTTTAAATATGCAACTTCTGTATTGTCTGAAAAAGCATTCAAACGATAATTTACTAATATTTCCATCTTAAGTAGCCCAGAATACTACATTAAATGACAATATGCTTCACTCCAGTGCTCTTAGGTATCCCTATTTTTAAGTGATCACCTGCTCCTGCAAGTAGTAAGGGGATAAATATCAACGAAGAGTAAGAAGAGATCCTGGCTCTCTACTTAGGAGCTACTGGATCTGTAGGCTGGTCACATCAACTTTTCTGAGCCTCAGTTTCCTCATCTGGAAATTGGGGATAATAACTACTTAAAGGGGCTGTTGTGAGAACAAAGGAAAAGGATGAATGACGGTAACACGATGCTACCCCCATGGCAAAGGCTCAAGAAATGGGAGGTACCATTACCAATGGCTAAAACAATGACAGGTAAGGAAACGGAGGCCCAAAAAAAGGTGTCTTGGCCAAGATCTTCAGCTTGCTGGTGTCAGAATGAGAACACAACCCAACCCCTGACTTCCAGGGCAGCTTAGCACCCTACACTGTTAATCTCTGCTGTAGAAGAAGGAAGCCGATGAGTGGGAGACTTCAGGGAGCACGGCGGTCCCAAATGTAAAGACACTGACACACTTTTGGAGATCCCTGCAGGCAAATGTTTAAACCCCTGTGCCCCAGGGCAGCACTTATTTTAGGAGAGTTCAATCTGCACTTTTTCCTTTTTCTTTTTTTAGTGTTATGGGAAATAGATAACTACGTATCTGTGCTCAGCGCCTCAGGGCACACTAACTGAACACAACAAAGTGAAATTAGATTTATTATTACTGCATTATTATGAGATACAGGTAGATCCAGCTCTAGTTTTAGAGAAGAAAAAAAGATAAAGTTTCTAATAAAAACTGTTATTACGTTAAAAAATGGTTCTTTATGAACCATGAGAGACGATGGACTCTGAAAAACAAACTGAGGGTTCTAGAGGGGAGGGGGGTGGGAGGATGGGTTGGCCTCGTGATGGGTATTAAAGAGGGCACGTTCTGCATGGAGCACTTGGTGTCATATGCAAACAATGAATCATGGAACACTACATCAAAAACTAATGATGTAATGTATGGTGATTAACATAACAATAAAAAAATTTTTTAAAATGGTTCTTTAGAAGCGCTATGCTCCACACCCCCACCAAATGAGCACTGGAACATCACCTACAAGACGAGTACCATTTTGTAGAACGGCTTCCATGTCCTCAAACGTTACACTTATATGCCATAAATGTCGGGGCCCTAATTTTTCCTTACCTCTGTCAAAATTGTATTGCTGAGAGATGATTTCCCCCCAATATTTAGCACACTCTGCGGATAGTTTCTTTGGTTTGTCTAGTCGACGAATTGCTAATGCTTGAATGTGTTTCTGAAAAGCCTCTTCTGTCATGTCCTCTATGGACTTCTCCATGGTGATTAGGAAAGCTTCCACTCTGCTCTCTAGGTAGTGAGGCGGCTTTTCTGACTGGATGATGAATCGTAAGCCCTGAATGCCGTTGGCTCGACGTGGCCCACTGAAGACAATGTAGCCTGAAACACAAACACCAGCCAGTCAGGACCCTGGCATTTGAGCTTGGGTCACTTTTAATCCTTCAAAACTTCTATCAGAGCAGTAAAATCTTTCAGGCTTTATTTTTTCCACCTCTGAAGAAATATAAACAACTAGGATATCCTAAGTTCCTAAGGATAGAGCGAAAGAGCTCTCTGAAGAACAGTTAGAAAGTTGGGAGAGAATTCTTTTTTCCTAAAAAAAAAAAGAAAGAAAAGAAAAAACCCTCTTCATTATTCAGTCTCACATCCCACAACTCCTCACTGTGTGCCAGCTAATCATCCTCAATCTATGTTAAAGCCATTCCCATTCCTAGGATAGACTAAACTCATTTTCCTCCCCTAACCATGATTCCACCTGTTTCCTTTCACATCCAAGTTCCTTATGTGAATCCATTCCTGGACCAACTCTATTCGAACTAAAAATTTCAAGAGACCAAGTAACAGAAGGTCACACTTCCGTTGTCATCTTGTGAGTTCACGCACAACCACTCTTCCATGTCTTTCTAAAACTGGGCTTGTGGCTTGTGTAACTCAGCTGCTCTGCCCTAAACCACATCTCTGACAGCTGTGGTGTCTTCAGGTCCCACTTCTGAGGAAGTCACTATCTTCAGCATGACCTTCAGACTGAAGACTCTTGGCAACATTTACCACACTGCACGGTAACTCTTCCTTTATAGTTTGTTCATGGTCTGTCTCCCCTGCCATAATGTCAGCTCAGAGAGGGCACGGACTTCACTTCTGTTCACTGCTGATCGACAGTGAGCTCCCTGAAGGGAAGGGCCATCCATAGCTTATCCATTTTCCTTGACCAGCATCTAGTGTGGTGGTTGTTTTAAAAATGAAAATACTCGGAAAGACTCACTCAAATCCTCTTTCATTAGTTCTTCCCAGTCATTACTGGGGCTTCGTTCTTTTCTCATTGATTAAACCTGCCAGGATCTCCAGGATTTTTAATAGTGCCTAAAACTCTGCCTGAAATATTTTCTCAACAAACACTTAATGAGTACCTTCTATATGCCCCAGGCTTGGGATAAAAAGATGGATAAGAGATAATACCTACCCTCAGGGAACCCAAAGTTTCATGAATCTAAGCTTCTCTACATGGCTTGCTTTCCATAATAAATAATCTGCCGTTAGCATCCTCTCTCCCTACCCAAAATGTCCTTTATTGACATGTATGTACCCTAAACACAAGGTCTTCTCCTTAAGAACTGCTTTAATGTCCATAAGATGTTAGTTGCTTATTTTTTAGAAGTAGATTCCCCATAAACAAAGTTTTCACAAGCCTTTCTCAATACAGCAAGCCTGCAGCACCATGCAAGGGGACTGTACATGTGGAGAATGTTTTCTGAGGACAACGGTTGCTCAGAGTCTACGGTATCCCACTAGTCTCCGCTTCCCTCTCACCTAGCTGCTCCTTGGTGCGCAGGGTGTTGAAGCAAGGTTCAGAGATGATTTGACAGAAGAGCTCTAGAAACATATTCTCTGAGGTGCTCTGCATGTCTGTCTGGTAGTATATCTCGATGCCACAGTTATTGTGAACTTCATTCCTCTGCTGATACACAAACCATCCTCCTAGGAAGTTTCAAAAAGAGAACAGGTTCAAAAACTTATTTAGGGTTTAATAAAGCCAATGTTTTGCCTGGCTTTTTAAAGTTGTTCTATTTGGTTGGTGTTTTTCAGCAATTCCAAACTGCAATTAATTTATTAAGAATGTGAAACTCAACTAACTTACCTAAGGGAATCCTTAGGTAAATATAGCGATTTGAACTTGGTAGGCCCCTCAATAAACATTCATCGAATTTAAGGGGCAAAGAACTTACAAAAGACCCATTTTATGGCTAAGTATTAATTATTAATTAAGTAAGATCCACAGTTAATACAATGTACAAGTTAGTGTATGTACTAGATTAGAAGTAGCTAATACAGATAAAAACCTCAACGGAAATACCACTTATGTTTTAATAAACATACAAAACCAATTCTTCTAAAATTACTAGTTGTGCCTTTATTATTATTATTATTACTGCATTTCAATTTAGTATTTTATTCTCAATATCAACACCCACACTAAAGATCATTTCACAAATTCACACAAATGTGTACAATGCTTGGAGATAACTTAGCCTGATAGCTCCCTGTAGAGAGAGGAAACTAGGACCCCGAGAAGCGGGGGCACGTGTCTAAGGACACCACACTGGAATGGTGGAGAAGAGCGAAGACTAAAACTCAGACGTGTTGTCAAATACCTCACCAGAGTTACGAAGAGATGATCATGCTTTAGGATTTAATAACTTTACTTCATGAGCCGTCAGTGAGCATATATAGTGTTTAGTACTCAGTATAAGACTCCCAAAGAAAACTTCTCAGAGTAGTAATGATGTTTGCTCACTTACAGATGGTGATTCAGACATCAACAGTGAAGGGAGGCACACAAGCTGAAGTCGTATTTCACCGATTTCATTTTTCTGACCAGATCCAAGTTTGACCCACAGTCACACTTTCTGATCGTATACCGACGGCACAAAGTCTCCTCTCATCACAAGTCACTACTCCCAATTTCTAGCCTTTTCACATATATCCCAAACTGTCTCCTCCTTCACAACGCCTGAAAATTTTCTTTTTAAATTATAAATATTGTCTTCTGGAGAGTTAACTGAAGGGCTGTGTAAGACAGTCACACCTGGTCAACTGGCTAAATTAGAATGATTTCTTAACACCCAGCATTTGGAGAACGGGATGTGAACTGAGCTATTTCTGAGCATGAAACAACTGGCGAGTGCACCTGGAAAGCAAAAGAGATAAAGCCCTAGAAGAGGAAAGAGAAAGCAGGAGGTGTGATAAAAAGAGGTGTGAAAGACTGCTTTCAATTTGAACATCTGTTTCTGGACTGGCCTCCCTTTGCCCGACGCCCAAGTGCCATGGTTTCTGAGTGGCAGATCTTGATTCTTCTTGTCTGCCTTGCGGCGGTGAGAGAGAACAGACCAGCACAGGTTTGACACGAACCATTACCAGGTCTGTGATGATGCAGAAGAGTAGAGCTGTGTTCAAGGTATCTCTGCGTGTTCAACAACAATATCCTGAGGTAACACCGTGTTGGAGTAGCTTTAGCAGCTTCTCAAAGGATCCAGACACAGCCCCCGACCTTAAGAATTGTATAGTCCAACAATAGAGATGGACATGCACCTCAATCCCAATGCAAGAGAAGTACTCAGTAGCTTCAACAAGGAAAACTTCAGAAAACCTGTGCTGGGAGGTCTGAAGAGGAGGACTACTTCCAGCTGGGAGTTTGGGGAAAAGTTTAGTGGGATGGGTGGTTTGTAAGATGGGGCCTGGAAGGAAGAATAGGGTACAGATGTCTATAAGGAAGAGAGAAGGAAAGGGAGCACAATTTCAGGCAGATGAAATAGTGTGAGTGTAAAGTGTGTGTGTGTGTGTGTGTGTGTGTGTGTGTAGAGGGGGCCGGCTCAGAGCACACACCACACATGCATGGAGAACAGCCAACAATCACATTTAGCTAAAAACAACAACAAAGAGAACAAAAAAAAACAATGCTTCTCATCCTCAGTCTAATTTACTACCTATTATATAATTTTGAACAATAACTGAAAATAATGCTTAATGAGTTTTTCTATGAAATGAAACCATTGTTAATACAAAAGTAATCCAACACTGCAAACTCCAGTACATTAATTATTACCCATTCTTTTATGCTAATTCCTTATGAAATATGCATGTAATGAATACATGGTGCTGTCTGCACCTGTGAGTTTCCTAAAACTATTTCTGCCAAAGACTCCTATGGGCTTCCAATTCAGTATGATGATTCTAGTGTCCATTTTTCGTAAATAGACTTTATTTCATGCTTCACAGTCAACATTTCTTTAGCTTTGTACCTTTTTTACTTCCTAACTCTTCTATATTCAACTACCAGTCAATCCCAATGTCATTCTCTTCAAAATAATTGCCTACCTCCAATTTCATCTCTTTGGCCTTCCTACAGAGAATTTTCTGGCAGAATTACTTCTCTTTAACCATACTTCTATAAATCATAGAGGATCCCAGTAGATCTTTACCATAAAACCATACATTATCATCCAAGTGACTTCAACCCACCTGTAATCACCCACAACATTATGTCAAAGTAGTCCGTTACCAAAGTTAATAGGACATTCCAACTTACTGTCAGGGAGCTGAACTTCTCTATACCGAACCAGCTGACTTGGAAGGAGAGGTTTTGTATGAGCATGTTCAATGAGGGTGTCTTCAACCATCTGCATAATTCCTAGTGCAGCCTGTGGGAAAAGGGCATAGCACATTACAAAACTACAAATGTTATCTTGTCTGTAAAAATAAAAATCGTATACTGGGTGGTGGCCCATGCAATATGAAAACAACATGCTTGTGAAATACACTAGTTTATCATAAAAGTGGATTTTTAAGCCTTAAAGATATTTGATCCTATTCAAATGGATAAACATTGAATTTGTCAACTGGCAATACAGTCAATATGGTAGAGGTGAAGAAAAACAGAGACCCAGACCAGCATCGACAATGATCTCAATGCTGCGGGAAAAGGTACCGCCAAAGCTGGAGGGGTACTGGTGATGGAAAGTTGGTCCCAAGTGAATGGCCCTGACAATAGACACTTGGGGTTATAGCAAAGCAAAGGAAGTGAGTGAGCATAAGGCTTTTAAAAAACATAAAACTGGGGTGCCTAGATGGCTCAGTCGGTTGAGTGTCCGACTCTTGGTTTCAGCTCAAGTTATGATCTCAGGGTTGTGAGATCGAGCCCCGCATTTGGCTCTGTGCTCAGCGGGGAGTCTGCTTGAGATTCTCTCTCCCTGCGCCCCCCACCTCCACTCACGTGCACTCTCTATCTCTCAAATTAATAAATAAAATCTTTAATAAATAAATCTGACCTTAGTAAAAAAATCCTGTCTCTGCCACTTATTAGCATCTGACCCTGGGCATACTGTTTTGGAGGCAGGATAGCAGAGTAGTAGGGAAAGTGTGGGGTCTTTTTTTTTTTTTTAAGATTTTATTTATTTATCAGAGAAAGAGAGAGAGCGAGCACAAGCAGGGAGAGTGGCAGGCAGAGGGACAAGCAGGCTCCCCGCTGAGCAAGGAGCCTGATGCGGGACTCGATCCCAGGACCCTGGGATCATGACCTGAACCGAAGGCATACACTTAACTGACTGAGCCACCCAGGCATCCCGAGAATGTGGGGGCTTGAGAGAGGCTGCCAGAATTCCAGAATGGGAATTCCAGAAAGCCTTCCATATGCTAAACATTTGGCATGTATCATTTAATTTAATCTTTAAACTCTAATTTACAGATGAAAAAAACTGAGTACTGAGAGGTTAACACATTTCGGAAGAATAAGTATCTAGTATGTGGCAGAGTCAGGATTTAAATGCAGGCTGATTCCACACCATGTGCTCTTATCCACTACACAGTCCTGCTGTCCTACACAGAGAAGGGATAATTATTTCCATTTCCTCCTGTGATTGCACAAGGCAGGCAAGAGCAGAGGAGGCAGCCATGAAAGTAGGTCCACAGTTAGCCACCATCATTCTACTCCCTCATATGCTGTCCTATCTTCCTCCATAGAGCAGAGAAGTCAACACTAATGTGCTTATAATCACACTGTGATGGTGCATAGTCTTAGGCCAGGGTAAAGAAAATCTCTTACACTGATCCATAAAAGTCTGCTAAAACCCCAACCACGCACCTGCTTTGTTATGTTTCCATGGAGAAGGGCTTCGATGTGCAGCCGTGACAGGAGCTGAGGTATGAAGGCCTTAAGGCGAGGAAGGGTGACATCTATGAAGGTGTAAAAAATAGTGAGCTCTACCTATGAGTTTTCAAAGGAAACCACCCTGAGCGAATTGAAGATTTAGAGAAGAATTACAAAAACAGTACAGAGTTCCATATACCCTTTACCCAGTTTCCCCAAAGATTAGTATCTTTCCATAGCACAACGGTCAAAACTAAGAAATTAACACTGCTACAATACTAGTCACTAACACAGTTTTTATTTGATTTTAGTTTTTCCTAATATTCCTTTTCTGTTCCACGATTTAACCCATGATTCCACCTTGCATTTAGTTATGTGTCCTTAGTGCTGTAGGTTTCCTCTAATCCATGACAGTTTCCATCTTTCCTGGTCTTTTATGACCCTAAAATTTTTGAAGAGTACTGTTCAGTTACTTTATGGAATGCCCTGTGAGTCTGTCCAGTGTTTTCCCATGACTAAACTGAGCTTAACTACTCAACTACTAGGAAGAACACCACAGAGGTAACGTGCCCTTATCAATGCATCACATCAGGGGAACATGATGTTGATATGCTGTCGTCCTGGTGATGTTAACACTGACCACTTGGTTACGGTGCTGTCTGCCAGAGGTCTTTACTGTAAGTGCACTGTTTTTATCTTTCAGTTATAACAGAGTAACTCATGTATGTTCTACAAGCAATTAGGTAAAGCTATCTGCCCATCAATGCTGACTTTTCCGATTGTGATTAATAAATATTTATTTGGGGGAAAATATATTTTGAGACTATACAAATATCCTGTTTTCCCTTACTCATTAATTTTAGCATCCAATGGTGCACTGTATCAATTAGTATTATGGCACCATAATAGTGATTTTTCTGTTCCCCTCATTCCTTTTCCATGAATTGATTTGGCTCTTCAATAAGAAAGAGTTGTTCCTTCTCCATTAGGACATCATACTAGTAACTGCTGCCATGGATGCTAAAAACAGTAACTAAAATTCAAAGAGAGACATGGGAAGGGAATTAACCTTACTTACTTACTCTGGGTCTGTCACTTTATATGTGTTATCTTATAAACCTCAAAGTATGCACTACTATCACAATTTTAAAGGTGAGAGAACCAAAGTGAAGGAGATTTAAGTTTCTTTCCAAAGGCATCAAGCTAGTAAGTTAAGTTGCAGAGCTGGCACTTGACCCCTGGTCTGACTAATCTTGAAGTGCATGCTTGCTCTCCAGACCCCGTGAGCTCTCTCTGCAGATCTCTACCACAACACCTACTCTCTTCGCCTGTACTGAAATGATCTGTTTACATTCAGGTGTGGCCACCAGACTGGAACTCCTTGATCCAAGAAACCCCATCTATAATGGATCACTGTTTATCCCAAGCAACTGAAGTCTAGGGCCTGGTGCACAGCAGGCGGTCAGTAAATGCTGTTGAACCAAACTGGACTCTGAGGTTCCTACTACCCTGGCACCTGGACAGCCGACTGACTGGCAGCCACGAGGGAGCCAGCCTCTCACATTGAAGTGTTGCCACATTAAGCCACGTCGACATTACTGGATTATTCTATGTGTATATACATACACCGCAGTAGAAGGATTATTTATTTGAGCAGAGAATGTCAACCAAAAAAGCACTTTCTCTATAAAAAACACATTTTAGATTTCATATGCCTATGATATACTTTATAGAGCTTATTTTGCTTAAAATTTATATACCATCTGACCCAGAATCTAACAAAGGGGGGAAAAATGAAAACCTTTTGCTTTTTGATTATGCTGAGTACAGGTTCAAGTTTTAAAATAGTTTTTAAACCAATTATGTGATTTAAAAAAAAAGGTAAAATTCTTGCTGTTAACTAGACGTGACTCAAACATTTTGCAAAGTCTATTAACTGTCTGGATTAAAAATGCATTAGTTCTGGGGCGCTTGGGTGGCTCAGTTGTTAAGCGTCTGCCTTCGGTTCAGGTCATGATCCCAGGTCCTGGGACTGAGCCCCGCATCGGGCTCCCTGCTCAGCGGGAAGCCTGCTTCTCCCTTTCCCACTCCCCCTGCTTTTGTTCCCCCTCTTGCTGTGTCTCTGTCAAATAAATAAATAAAATCTTTAAAAGAAAAATGCATTAGTTCTAGCTAATGAATTTTATAATCTATATGCCTACCCAATGTCTGAGGCAACCAATAAAATGTCAATACTCTGCTCGATTTGTCACTGAAGACATCAAAAGTATTATACTTACATAGTAAGCATAAGGACTTGTCATAAAATGTCATTAAAAATTCAACACTATTCTTTTACTGCTGAGCATGTGGGGGAAAAGATTAGTTGGTAAAGTAATGCTGAGAAGGGAGACAGATAAAACAATAAAGGGTACTATCAATCTACATTCTTTCTAATAAAACAATCCTGAAGTAATTTCATTCCATTCAGTAGGCATTCATTAGATGCATACTGAGGACATACTTTATACTGGATAACAAATAAAAGAGAATAAAAAGAAGGCATAATCACTGCCCTCAAGGAATTTAGGACTTTCAAGCAAAACTTCTGATTAGAAAAAAAGCGACAAAGAATGACTCTTTAAGCTTTACACATTTTCCAGTTTTTAACTGAACAAATCCAAAGATGCCTGAGCATGCTTCCTATATGATAAGACTTTCAAGCTCAGCCCTTTTATCCTCTTCTGAAAACTTCAATATTAACAAGGTAAGTGTTTTGGTCAAAACCTTTAGTCAGCCACAGAAATCTATGAACAGCAATAACTACCTGCTATGGGTCCAGGTTGAAAGCAGCAAATGTGGCTACACTGCCTGAATACCAAAGCAACTTCGAAGGCCACCACTGTTTTTATATTTGGGAAAAAAAAAAAAAAAAGTATGCACAGCTGTTTTGTTGTTTTTTTTTTTAAGATTTTATTTATTTATTTGACAGAGAGAGACAGCGAGAGAGGGAACACAAGCAGGGGGAGTGGAAGAGGGACAAGCAGGCCTCCCGCCGAGCAGGGAGCCCGACGTGGGACTCGATCCCAGGACCCTGGGATCATGACCTGAGCCGAAGGCAGACGCCTAACGACTGAACCACCCAGGTGCCCCAATGCACAGCTGGCTTTAATAAAACTACAAGTTACTAGAAAGCATAAACACTAGATACCAGGATAAATCATAATGATTTTAGAAAAAAATGAAGAGTGTTATAAGTAGAAAACGAGCCTTACCATCCAGGGCTTCTTTTAATTCATCTTTAGTCCAGGCCACTTCAGTCATCAGCAGGCGGAGGTAGTACATGGCGTGCTGGTGAGGCTGCTCAGCTCGGAAATTGTTAAGAGATCGCATATACTAGTAAAGGGAGAAACAGGTTCATTAATTTTATAAGTCCTTTAAAATCACTTAAAAAATTTCAACTATGGGGCGCCTAGGTGGCTCAGATGGTTAAGCGTCTGCCTTCGGCTCAGGTCATGATCCTAGGGTCCTGGGATCGAGTCCTGCATCGGGCTCCTTGCTAGGTGGGGGGCCTGCTTCTCCCTCTGCCTCTGCCTCTCTCTCTCTCTCTCTGACTCCCATGAATAAATAAATAAAACATTTAAAAAAAAAAAAAGATCAACTATAATCAAACTTCATTCTGCATAAATCCTGTGTTACTGGGATGCAGGAATATCTGTTTCTTTCTCCTTTTTGAAGTGAGGTAATTTAGAATGGGGCTTACTCTAATATTCTCTGATTCTTAAAGGGCGTGCTTTTTCTTTGTCTGGGCTGCTGCTTTATCCCCAGCGTCTGACATGTATTCTAAGTGTCCTCACCATGAGACGTCTTTCACTCCTCAGAAAGTCATCCCCAGTTTTCAGGGCCTGCCCTATTGTGACAAGGTTCTCATGGCAGGCAGACCTCAGTCACAGAATCATGTGTCCTTCTGAAGTGGAGGGTGGATGAAACTTTCAAGGGGTCCCTCACAGCTACTAGGTCTACCTCAGGCTTCTCTCTGAAAGTCAGTGCTGCAACCTGCCCAGCTCTTGAGGGTCAGGTGTCCCCAAGTCACCCAGGGTCACTTTCTGAGGAGAGCATAGGACTTAGCAAAGACAGGGTGAGAGGACTGCCATAGGAGTAGTAGTGCTTCTCCTTTTCTCAAGAATGTTCACAATAGGGCGCCTGGGTGGCTCAGTTGTTAAGCGTCTGCCTTCGGCTCAGGTCGTGATCGCAGGGTCCTGGGATCGAGCCCCGCATCGGGCTCCCTGCTCTGCGGAAAGCCTGCTTCTCCCTCTCCCATTCCCCCTGCTTGTGTTCCTGATCTCTCTCTCTGTCAAATAAATAAATAAAATCTTAAAAAAAAAAAAATGTTCACAATAAGGCAAAATTACCACCTTATGTTTATGAACAACAACAAGATTACAAAAATGAGTTCAGAAAACTTACTGCCTCTTTGATAATTTCAAATCTTTTTTCATCAATCTCAAAGGTAGCCATTTTCTCAATAATCTTCTTTAGCAAAATCGGCTGCTTGTCATTGTAACCTTTCACCGAGAGCTACAAAAAAAAGTTCAGGGTATTAGAAGTCCAAAAATATCACGAAAAAAACCTCCAAATAAACACCTTAAGCTTGATTTTTAAACACCTTAAGCTTGATTTTTAAACACCGAGAAAATCCCAAAGCCAGGTATATTAAAATAAAAGTGAAGAAGAAATTCAACTGATTTATCTTCTCATAAATATAATTTAGCTTAGGAAGAGAATATTAACCATCTTTATTTACTAATAACCCAAAAGCCTATTTTGCTATTCCTAAACAAAGTCAACAACAGGAAAACTCACCTGATGCCAGATTACAGAACACACCACATCATCAAAATTCAAGCTCTCATTAAATCAAAATTAACTACAGACTGTGTTTTAAGTTTTATCTTCAAAAATAACTTCTAAGGAATGGCAGGCTTAAGGTTTTTATAGATGTGGTAAGAAGGTAAAAATTACCAGTAGTATCATCTAGCCAACTGTTAGGTAGGTCTCAAAATTGTTTCTATTTAAATATTTTTTTAAATTCCTCTTTGGCGATGTCAGGCAGCTCCAATTTCGTGTGTGGGTGTGTCTATTTTTGTGGCATTTTGCCATTTTTGTCATTCAATGTTGCCCAAAAAGGATCTACACATCTCACCATTGCTTGTTTAATGAGTTCTCCTGATGCATCAAAAGCCAACGGCAAAACAGATGTACTGTGAGGACACACTGTCTGTACTATCAGGATTTTTGTCTTGGGACAATTTAATAGTCTCCAAAACTGAACACTGGGGAAAGCTGGGAATGCCTATTATTATATTTCCACACAATGGCACCCACAGCAATAGAGGACACACCGCAACTAGAATACCCAAGAAAGCCTCTACCTTATACAAAATGATAGGTAAGAACCTCAGGAGTGAAGGTCATTACTGGCCATGGACAGCACATCATGTACCATGGGAACTAGATTAACAACTAGCAGAAAGCTCATTCTGTCATAAATTAAAAACTACCTATTTTAATGGTAATATGCTACTAAAACTCAATAGCAAAAAATAAATAACAGATTATTACTTTTCTATTTGGAGTTTATTTTGATCTCTGAGCTTCAAATTTCCCTAGATGCTGAAAATGGTTATGTACATTAAATGAAAACTACTGGAAATTTTACTTGTGGGGAAAAAAAAAAAGGCACTGCAAAATAAAATTTTAAAACCCTAAAACCTTTTGCATAAGAATTCATAAACAGGAGTACAGAGTACACAGCACATGCTCTCATTTTAGTTGTTACTAAAATGTACAATATTTTTTCAAGAAAAGTGAAGATGAATGTGTGCCATAGAAGGGATGTTAATTTGGAAATGAGATAAAAGCTTGGAAACACAACAGAAATAGTTTTAGGAGAAAAAAATCTAGTTATTTCTTTGGATGTTTTTAATAATGCTTATTTTAAAACACACTTAAAAGTAGTTAATGGTGCATGCTACAAAATAAATTAAATGAAAACATCAAATGTATTTGAACACAGGATTCTACTGCTGTCAGCAAAAATAAAGGAAGCTTACAGAGGAGTGAAATTCAAGCACCACAACAATAACTACAGTTATTTTTCACTTACAGATGTTAATACAGTCAAGCACATGGAAAGAACATGCTTTCAGAATTAGTGTGTTTCACATTTCAAGCAGAGGAACATGCAAATAAATGTAGCACACATACATGTTCACAAATTGCACGAAACTCTACTGAATCATTCATTAGTGGAACTACTACTAATTTGAGTTCTTCAATCATCAAAAAGGTGCAAGGAAAAAACCATCAACCTTCTTGTTTAAAAAATGCAGAAGTTAATAGTTTTCCCAAGCTCAACATAATGCTTAAACGGTGTGGCACCTTTTCTTTGGTTTTCATTTTACTTACAAGTATTGCATTCATTCCTGATGCAATGCCATAGCTCAAACCTGAGAGGCGTGCTGCATATGTATACTCTTTTAAATCATCCTTCAATAACCTGATAAACAGGTATGTCATGTTGCAATGGAGAGGATCAGCATAAATGTAGCGACTAACAAAAAGAAAAACAAAAGAAATGCTTTGATACCTCAAGCAGTGGCATGGTAATGAAGAAACATGACCGAAGAGTATGGATATGCAGCCTCATGATCTGAATGTCTAGGGAAACAGAATCAGCCAACCTTGTTTTACAATGCCAGGAAGACATCATTCTGTTGTCAAAGACCAAGATTTCACATAGAGAATGGGTGAGATTTAAACCTCAATCAGGGTCCCATTTTGTTTGAGGAGGAAAATATGACAATCTGATGAAAGATGTTTAAAAAAAAATAAAAACAGAAATCAAGGAAAATTTGCATAATGTGAATGTAATCACTGAATACTTAGAATAAGAGCTAACTGAAAAATTAAATGAGAAAATATGATTAGCCATATTTTTTTTTAAAGAAATTAAACTCATACCCTCAATCAAAAACACTTCCATCAAATCAATATAAAAAAATGTTGATGAGTGGAAGGCTCTAAGACGTGGGTACTTACATACATCCCATAGATGGTATTTTGGAGGTCATAGCTCAAGCCTGCTAGCTCTGCTGCATATGCATACTCGTTGAGTGAGTCTTTGAGGAGCTCAAGGTACAAATAGGCCATGTTACAGTGCAAGGGGTCCACATAAGCAAATGGGCTGGAAGAAAATGTTGACAGTAAAATAGCTGATTTATTACTTCCCAATGTGATGTGGCCTTTTGAGATGGATCAAGAAAGTGAACATCGGTTATTATCATTTCCTGAAGATATGGTTTGAATTCTTGAGTCTGTTCTTCTCGGGAGGCAAAAAACCACAAGATGTCTGAAAAAGAAGCCCAAAGTATGCCATGTGTGCTGGTGGTGGCGAGGAGGGAGAAACAACTGTTTGCCCCAGATGGTGTGTGGCCAAACTGACAAGTTAGAAATGCAGGGCTGGGGCGCCTGGGTGGCTCAGTCAGTTAAGCGTCTGCCTTTGGCTCAGGTCATGATCCCAGGGTCCTGGGATCGAGTCCCGTGTCGGGCTCCCCGCTGAGCAGGGAGTCTGCTTCTCCCTCTGCCTCTGCCTACTTGTGCTCTCTTTGTCAAATAAATAAAATCTTTAAAAAAAAAAAATGCAGGGCAGGTAAGGAGTGGGAACAGGCTAAAAGGCATGCCTGCGTTGAGGTTAAAAGGAGGAGGCATGGTTGGGCACCTGGCGGGCTCAGTTAGAAGAGTATAAGACTCCTGATGTTGGGGTCGTGAGCTCTAGTCCCACACTGGGTGCAGAGATTATTTAAAATTAAAAAATAAATTAAAAAAAAAAAGGAGGCATGACCAACAGAGCTCATCCGACATTAGCATGTCTTCCTCCCTCTAAGCAAGCCATACCCTGGGTGGACCTGAGTATGAGACTGAGAAGTTTGTGTGCTGTGATTTTTGAACTTAAACAAGAAAACGGAGACCTGTGAAATGTTAACTCATCTCTGAGTTTCCCCCCAAACCAATAAAGCTATAGCACTGTCAGTAAAATAATTGATAATTCCCACCATATAACTGCAGAGAGAGCTATGAAAAAATATTAAAATAAAAAAAAAATACTTAAGGGACGCCTGGGTGGCTCAGTTAAGCGTCTGCCTTTGGCTCGGGTCATGATCCCGGGGTCCTGGGATCAAGTCCCGCATCGGGCTCCCTGCTCAGTGGGAAGCCTGCTTCTCCCTCTGCCTGCCGCTCCCCCTGCTTGTGCTCTCTCTCTCTGACCAATAAATCAATAAAATCTTAAAAAAAAAAAAAACAAAGTGAAAAAGAGCAACCAAAATGAGGAAACAATCAGAGAGTACAAAAACTAAATAGGACCACAGAGATCACCTAACTTAATCATTTCTTGAATAAGAAACACAGCTTTCTGCATGTAACCTGGGCGGGTAATGGCAGAATTCAGATTCAAATGCAAGTCAAATGACCTACTCATTGGATTATATGACCTCACTTACCTTTATGACAAACAAGTAAGAGTCATTCACTCAACAAATGTGTATCACACGCTTACTACTATAATACACGGAAGCAGGTATGGTTCAGAAGAGCCTAGTGCTAGGCCCTTCTCTAGGTACTGGGAATAAAATCAGGCAAAGTCACTGACCTGACAGAGTTTAATAGTCTAGTTAGAGGAGAGAATAAATTTTAATATATCAAGTGGGGATAGTGCTATGAAAAAAATTAAGCAGGGTAAGAGGAACAGGAGTGAAGGTGGTGGTAGTAAGAGAAGACTGCTAATTTACATAAGATAGATAATCAATGCCTCTCTCATAAGGTGACATCTGGGCCTAGACCTGAAGGAAGCAAAGGAGCAAGCTCTGGGGATATCTGGGTGGGACCGGTTGAGGAAACAGCCAGTGCAAAGGACCCAAGGCCAGGTGCCTGCTTGGCTTGTTTGGCAGCAAATTAAACTTTCACTGTATCTGTAGCACAGTAAATATAACTACTGTACTGACAGCAAAGGCAACAATTTTATCAAAGCTGATAATGAAACAAAAATAGAGGAGGCTTAGCCGCTAAGAGAATTAAAATCAAAGAGAAAATTCTCTAACTACATAAACATTCTCTATCCAGAAAATCTAAATGGATTGGGGCGCCTGGGTGGCTCAGTCGTTAAGCGTCTGCCTTCAGCTCAGGTCGTGATCCCGGGGTCCTGGGATCGAGCCCCGCATTGGGCTCCCTGCTCGGTGGGAAGCCTGCTTCTCCCTCTCCCACTCCCCCTGCTTGTGTTCCCTCTCTGTCAAATAAACAAATAAAATCTTTTTTTTTTTTTAAGATTTTATTCATTTATTTGAGAGAGAGAGGGAAACAGCATGAGAGGGGAGAGGGTCAGAGGGAGAAGCAGGCTCCCCGTGGAGCAGGGAGCCCGATGGGGGCCTCAATCCCAGGACCCCAGGATCATGACCTGAGCCGAAGGCAGTCGCTTAACCAACTGAGTCACGCAGGCGCCCAAACAAATAAAATCTTAAAAAAAAAAGAAAGAAAGAAAATCTAAATGAATGCTCGGTCACTGAATTTTTTAAGTACTGTATTATATACATGACACACTTCCTTCTTTAGGCAAACAACAGCTCAGAAACGCACAGCACAATTCACAAAAGCAAAATTATCAAATAAAAGAGAATCTAGGAAGGGCTTGGCCCCACAGGCACCTGTGTGCCGATCTCACGTGGAAGTGAAAAGCCAGAAAAAGCCAAGTCTGGGAGCTCAGAGCCATATGGCTCAAGCTTAGAATGCAATTCCAAGAAGTGTCCTAAAATGCTGCAAGCACAGCAACTGTGCTGGTGAGCTGTAAGAGAGAACATGATTCAACCACAATGCTTACATTCTGGTTCATTTGTTAATGAAAAAAAATTTTATTTTGTATTCAGGTGCTATATGCTTAAATATGGATCAGAGTTTTTAAAACTGTAACTAAGTATGTGTAATATAATCCTATTTCTGAAGATACTAAAAGGGTATACACACACAAAATGTCTTAAAGAATATACAAGAAACCTAACAGTGTGAGCTCTAGGAATAGCAGAACACGGAGAGAGGGACTTTTGGGAAGTAGATGTTTTTAGTTCTAAGAACTGCACTGGATAGTGTAGAGAATGCAAAAATATCAAATGGTCTCTCAAAAGGTAGAGAAATTCACAATCATAGAAGTCAAATGGGAAAGTGGTGACAAGCTGCTTGGAATGTTACAAAAACACTCTGAATATCAAAAAATAAAACCAGCTTTGTAATACTTTCTACCAACAATAAGCCACAGCCAGACAGTTCATGTTTAGTGTGAAAAGTAAACAATCTCAGCATAGCTCCAGATAAGTCCACGAATCTCGTGCTATAAAATACAATGTTTGCATCCCCCTACAAGCTCATCCATACATGTTGGTGAAATACTAATTTTCTACTTAGAGTTTCTTTTTCCCTATTCCAAAACATTTAAAATGCATTTAGTTTAAGTTTCATGTCAAGTCAATCAATAAAAATTAGTGAACGTTATTACATGATGCTAGATTTATTTCATAAACACACACCACTGAATTTTAAATAAAAATTATGCAGTACAAACTCACAAAGTAAAATTTGAACTGGATGATATACTTTACTACAGAAATAAATAAAAGGAAACAGAGATGAACTGCAGATTTATATTGAGAAATCATTCCAACAGTAGTATTCATAAATGTTACTAAACATGTTCTTCTTTTTTAATTAAATCATTTTTAAGTGACCACGCCAAGAACAGAGAAAACAATATCTAAGGGCTTCAGATGTTTAAAGGCTGGAAAAGACTCAAAACCATGTAGTAACTACTACCTCCCCCTCTGGGCGAGTTTCAGAATACAAAACCGAAACTACATCAGAAAACACCCTCAATTATTTAATCTTTCTTGAATGAAATTTCTGGGTGAGTCTACAGCCTCCCCAGACTCCAAAGTCCTGAAGGCTAGGAAGGGTCCTCCTAATGGCTAACATAAATCACGTCAGTTAAAGGGTGTGCTCATCAGTGCAAAGGAAGAACTGACACCCTTGACTTTTACAATATCCCTTACCAGCAGCAGCCTTCCCTGGTCCAGGCTACGTAACTCTAGTTTCTTTCATTTCTACACATGGGTCATCCCTGAAGCAAAGACAACTTTTAGGAATGGGATCATTGATTTTTAAAAGAAACTTTGTAGCCAGATTCATTTTACATACCTGAAAAATTCAAAGTTGAGACAAGCCTTTGGCAAGAAAAACTTATCATCTTGTTTGAACCAGAGTTTGCTCATAGCTGTATCCTGTGATGGAGAAACAATCTGGTTAATAAAATATGGGCACATTTGGCAAAAAGCTCAATCAAACTACTCTTCAAGAGGAGTAGGAGAGGCAATGTTGAGAGTTTCATGGCCTTGAGGCATACTCAGAGGGTCTCCAGGTGGGAAGGTGAAGAAAGAAAACTGCTGATTCTGGTAGCAGAGAGAAATCACCCTTCTGTCTCCCCTGGGTGAGGGAGATGGGGGACACAGCAGAGGAAGAGATAGACTGGAGAAGCCAATACCAAGTGTCCTATCCCTGTCTTTCTGAACACTGAGAGGCAGACGCAGGAGTCCTTAGCGGAGTGCGGCAGCCAGCCTTCAAGGGGGGCTATAGCAATCCCTACCTGTTGGCATTCCATCCCTGTATAGTTGTCTCTCCCACAATGAATCAGGATTGGTCTATGTGAGCAAGACTATGACAGAAGCGATGGCATGGTACCTCTGAGATTAGATTCTAAAAGACATTATGGATTCCATCTTGATCACCCTCTTTCTCTCTTGAATCACTCACTTTGGAGGAAGCCAGCTTCCATGTCAAACAACTCTACTGAGAGACCTATGTGGTGAAGAGCTAAGGCCTGCCAACAACCACAAAACTGAATTTAGAAGAAAATCCTTCAGCCCTAATTGAGCCTGCTGAGATTATAGCCTTTGACTATAATCTAATAAGAGACCCTGAGCCAGAATTACTCAACTAAGCTACATCCAGATTCCTGATCCTCAGAAACTGCATGGAGATAAATGTTTTCAGTTCCTAATTTTTGGAGGAATTTGTTATGTAGTAATAGATAACACAGCCAGAGATGAACAAATAAGCCACTACTTTAACTCTCCACTTCACTCATACTGTATTAAAAACTCTTGAAACTCTGACAAGAGATATAAATGTTCTCCTTAGTTTACTTTGAGAAGACCTATTTAAAACAAACAACAAAAAATAGGAGAGGTAAACAAGCTTTCTCTTTGAATAACCTAACCTCTAATTCATTAAAATGTCATTTTTTTCTTCTCAAACTTTTAATTTATATTCAACATACAGTGCAATATTAGTTTCAGGAGAATTCAGAGATTCATCACTTACATACAACACCCAGTGCTCATCATAACAAGTGTCCTCCTTAATACCCATCACTCACCGAGCCCATTCCCGCCACCTCCCTCCATCAACCCTGTTTGTTCTCTATCTTTAAGAGTCTCTTATAGTTTGGGGGCACCTGGGTGGCTCAGTTGGTTAAGCGACTGCCTTCGGCTCAGGTCATGATCCTGGAGTCCCTGGATCGAGTCCCGCATCGGGCTCCCTGCTCAGCAGGGAGTCTGCTTCTCCCTCTGACCCTCCCTCCTCTCATGTGTGCTCTCTCAAATGAATAAATAAATAAATAAAATCTTTAAAAAAAAAAAAAGTCTCTTATGGTTTGTTTCCCTCTTTTTAATTTTCATCTCCTCCCTCCCCCATATGTTCACCTGTTTTGTTTCTTAAATTCCACATGAATGAAACCATATGGTATTTGTCTTTCTCTAACTTATTTCACTTAGCGTAATACACTCTAGCTCCATCCACGGGGTTGCAAATGACAAGATTTCATTCTTTTTGATGGGTGAGTAATATTTCATTGTATATATGTGCCACATATTCTTTATCCATTCATCAGTTAATGAACATTTGGGCTCTCTCCATTGTTTGGCTAGTGTTGATAATGCTACTATAAACACTGGGGTGCATGTATCCCTTCAAACATGTATTTTTATAACCTTTGGGTAAATACCCAGTAGTGCAATTGCTGGATTATAGGGTAGTTCTACTTTTAACTTTTTGAGGAACCTCCATACTGTTTTCCAGAGCAGCTGCACCAGTTTGCATTCCCACTAACAGTGTAAGAGAGTTCCCCTTTCTCCACATCCTCGCCAACACCTGTTGTTTCTTGTGTTGTTAATGTTAGCCATTCCAACAGATGTGAGGTGTTATCTCATCGTGGTTTTGATCCGTATTTCCCTGATGATGAGTGATGTTAAGCATCTTTTCATGTGCCTCTTAGCCACCTGGACGTCTTCTTTGGAAAAATGTCTATTTGTCTTCTGCCCATTTCTTAACTGGATTATTTGTTTTTTAGGTGTTGAGTTTGGTAAGTTCTTAGATTTTGGATACTAACCTTTCATCAGATATGTCATTTGCAAATATCTTCTCCCATTCCATAGGCTGCCTTTTAGTTTTGTTGATCGTTTCCTTCACTGTGCAGAAGCTTTTTATCCTGATGAAGTCCCAATAGTTCATTTTTGCTTTTGTTTCCCTTGCCTCCTGAGACATGTCTAGCAAGAAGTTGCTGCAGCCGAGGTCAAAGAGGTTGCTGCCTGTGTTCTCCTTTAGGATTTTGATGGTTTCCTGTCTCACATTTAGGTCTGTCATCCATTTTGAGTTTATTTTTATGTAAGGTATAAGAAAGCAGTCCAGTTTTCCCAACACCATTTGTTGAAGAGGCTGTCTTTTTTCCACTGGATATTCTTTCCTGCTTTGTTAAAGATTAGTTGACCACAGAGTTGTAGGTCCATTCCTGGGTTTTCTATTCTATTCCATTGATCTGTGTCTGTTTTTGTGCCAGTATCACACTGTCTTGCTGATCACAGCTTTGTAATAGAGCTTGATGTCCAGAATTGTGATGCCTCCAGCTTTGCTTTTCTTTTTCAGGGTTGCTTTGGATATTTGGGGTCTTTTGTGGTTCCGTACAAATTTTAGGATTGCTTGTTCTATCTGTGTGAAGAGTGCTCGTGATGTTTTGATCGGGATTGCATGAAATGTGTAGATTGCTTTGGGTAGTCTAGACATTTTAACAATGTCTGTTCTTCCGATCCATGAGCATAGGATGTTTTCCCATTTCTTTGTGCCCTCTTCAATCTCTTTCATAAATGTTCTATAGTTTTCTGAATACAGAACTTTTACCTCTTTGGTTAGGTTTATTCCTAGGTATCTTACAGTTTTTGGTGCAATTGTAAATGGGATCAATTCGTTGATTTCTTTTCCTGCTGCTTCATTACTGGTGTACAGAAATGCAATAGATTTCTGTACACTGATAGTATATCCTGTGACTTTGCTGAATTCATGTATTAGTTCTAGCAATTTTTTGGTGGAGTCTTTGGGTTTTCTGCATAGAGTATCATGTCATCTGCAAATAATGCAAGTTTGACTTCTTCCCTGCCAATTTGGATGCCTTTTATTTCTTTTTGTTGTCTTGATTGCTGAGGCTAAGACTTCCAGTACTATGTTAAATAGTCTTGTTCCTGACCTTAGAGGAAAAGCTCTCAGTTTTTCCCCACTGAGGAGAGCTATGGGTATCCCCACTGACATCAGCTGTGGGTCTTTCATATACGGCTTTTGTGATGTTAAGGTATGTTCCATCTATACCTACTTTGTTGAGGGTTTTTATCAAGAATGGATGCTGTATTTTGTCAAATGCTTTCTATGCATCTATTGAGAGGATCATATGGTTCTTATCCTTTCTTTTATTAAGCTAATGTATCACATTGATTTATTTGTGAATATTGAACCACCCCCGCAGCCAAGGAATAAATCCCACTTGATCATGGTGAATGATTCTTTTAATGTACTGTTGGATTCAATTTGCTAGTATCTTGAGAATTTTTGCATCCATGTTCATCAGGGATATTGGTGTGTAATTCTCCTTTTTAGTGGGGTCTTTGTCTGGTTTTGGGATCAAGGTAATACTAGCATCGTAGAAGGAGTTTGGAAGTTTTCCTTCCATTTCTATTTTTTGGAACAGTTTAAGAACAGGTGTTAACTCTTCTTTAAATGTCTGGTAGAACTCCCCTAGAAAGCCATCTAGCCCTGGACTTTTGTTTGTTGGGAGATTTTTGATTACTGATTTAGTATCTTTGCTGGTTATGGGTCTGTTCAGATCATCTATTTCTTCCTGTTTTAGTTTTGGTAGTTTGTATGTTTCTAGGAATTTATCCATTTTGTCCAGATTGTCCAGTTTGTTGGCATATTATTTTTCATAATATTCTCTTATGATTATTTGTATTTCTGTGGTGTTGGTTGTGATCTCTTCCCTTTCATTGATGGTTTTATTTATTTAGGTCCTTTCTCTTTTTGATAAGTCTGGCTAAGGGTTTATCAATTTTATTAATTCTTTCAAAGAACCAGCTCTTGGTTTCATTGATCCATTCTGGGTTTTTTTGTTTGTTTCTGTATCATTTATTTCCACTCTAATCTTTATTTTTCCTTCTGTTGGCTTCAGGCTTTATTTGCTGCTCCTTTTCTAGCTCCTTTAGGTGTAAGGTTAGCTTGTATATTTGAGACTTTTCTTGCTTCTTGAGGAAGGCCTGTATTGCAAATATACTTCCCTCTTAGGACTGCCTTTGCTGCATCCCCAAAATTTTGGACTATTGTGTTTTCATTTTCATTTGCTTCCGAGTACTTTTTTATTTCTTCTTTAATTTCCTGGTTAACCCATTCATTCTTTTAGCAGGATGTTCTTTAACCTCCATGTATTTGTGGTCTTTCCAAATTTTTTTCTTGTGGTTGACTTCAAGTTTCATAGCATTGTGGTCTGAAAATATGCATGGAATGATCTCGATCATTTTGTACTTGTTGAGGGCTGATTTGCGTGTGACCCAGTATGTGATCTTTTCTAGAGAATGTTCCACGTACACTCGAAAAGAATGTGTATTCTGCTGCTTTAGGATGAAATGTTCTGAATATAAGTTAAGTCCATCAGGTCCAGTGTGTCATTCAAAGCCATTATTTCCTTGATTTTCTGCTTAGATGATCTGCCCATTGCTTTAAGTGGGATGTTAAAGTCCCCTCCTATCATTGTATTATCAATGACTTTATGTTTGTTATTAATTGATTTATATATTTGGGTGCTAAGCTGGGGGCATAAATATTTACAATTGTTAGATCTTATTGATGGATAGATCTCTTAATTATGATATAATGCCTTTCATCTCATTGTTACAGCCTTGTTTGTCTGACGTAAGTATGGATACTCTGGCTTTCTTCTGACATACATTCACATCCCCTCACTTTCAATCTGCAGGTGTCTTTAGGTCTAAAATGAGTCTCTTGTAGGCAGCATATAGATGGGTCTTTTTTTTTTTTTTATCCATTCTGATACCCTATGTCTTTTGATTGGAGCATTTAGTCCGTTTACATTCACAGTAATTACTGAAAGCTATGAATTTAGTGCCATTATATTACCTGTAAAGTCGCTGTTCCTATAGACTGTCTCTGTTCCTTCCTAGTCTTTGTTACTTTGGGTCTCTCCTTCCCGCTCAAGGGTCCCCTTTAATACTCCTTGCAGGGCTGGTTTAGTGGTCACGAATTCCTTTAGTTTTTGTTTTTCTGGGAAACTCTTTATCTCTTCTTCCATTCTGAATGACAGCCTTGCTGGATAAAGTATTCTCAGCTGCATAATTTTCCCATTCAGCACATTGAATATATCCTGCCATTCTCTTCTGGCCTGCCAAGTTTCTGTGGACAAATCTGCTGTGAACCTGATTCCCTTGTAGGTTAAGGACTTTTTCCCTTGCTGCTTTCAGGATTCTTTGTGTATTTTGTGAATTTGACTATGTATGTCTAGGTGATGCCTGGCCTTTGTTGAATTTAATGGGAGTTCTCTGGGCTTCTTGGATTTCAATAACTGTGTCCTTCCCTAGATCAGGAAAGTTTTCAGTTAATTTGCTCAAGTAAACTTTCTGCTCCTTTTTCTTTCTCATCACTTTGTGGGATTCCTATGATAAGAATGTTACTATGTTTTAAGAAGCTGCTGAGTTCCCTAAGTCTACCTTCATGATCCAATACCTTTCCCTCTTCTTTTCAGCTTCATTTTTTTCCATAATTCTATCTTCTATATCACTGATTCATTTCTCTGCTTTGTTCATCCTCATTGTTATGGCATCCATTAGGGTTTGCATCTCAGTTATAGCATTTTAATTTCGGTCTGACTAGATTCCAGTTATTTTAACTCTACAGTAAGGGATTCTCTAGTGTCTTCTATGTTTTTTTCAAACCCAGGTAGTATTCTTATAATCATTGTTTTAAATTCTAGTGTAGAGGTACCTGGGTGGCTCAGTTGGTTGGGCGTCTACCTTCGGCTCAGGTCATAATCCCGGAGTCCCTGGATGGAGCCCCACGTCCAGCTCCTCGCTCAGTGGGGAGTTTGTTCTCCCTCTGCCCCCCTCCCCCGCTAATGTACTCTCTCTCTCTTTCTCAAATAAAAACACCTTTTAAAAATAAATAAAAGTTGGGGCGCCTGGGTGGCTCAGTCGTTAAGCATCTGCCTTCGGCTCAGGTCATGATCCCAGGGTCCTGAGATTGAGCCCTGCATCGGGCTCCCCACTCTGCGGGAAGCCTGTTTCTCCCTCTCCCACTCCCCCTGCTTGTGTTCCCTCTCTCGCTGTGTCTCTCTCTGTCAAATAAATAAAATCTTAAAAATAAATAAAAATAAATAAATAAATAAATTCTAGTTCAGACATCTTACTTATATTTGTATTGGTTAAATCCCTGGCTGTTACTTCTACTTCCTGTTCTTTCTTTTGGGATGAATTCCGTCTTGTCATTTTGTCGAGAAAAAACAAAAACAAAACAAAACAACAACAACAAAAAATTAGATCCTAGGTGTGTTTGGGTCTGCTTGTCAAAAGAAGCTAGATCCTATTTCCCCTAGAGCTAAAGCTCTGCAGCACTTTATGATCAGTAGACTTGGTACATGCAAGGGGTTTGTGCTGGCCTGGGGGAAGGGCCTGCTGCACTGATTCTCAGGCCTATTTGCCTTGTAGAGATGGGGGGTGTAAGTGGCTCCGATCTCTACTTGATGGTACTGTTTAGCTCACTGAGGTCAGTCAGTGCTGACGGGGTGGGGGTGAGGGGGAAGAATGGGGGATATAGCTCTGCTCTGCTCTCTCATCCCTGCAGTGGAAAACTTGTGCCCACCACTATTCAGGAAGCTCTCACAGAAGAGCAAACAATCACCCCTCTTGTGCCCCAGCTTCCATCAAATCCCTGCCTTCACCCTGTGTCCAAGCTGTTTCATCTCAGGGTGCAGCTGGGTTTCTAAACTCCAAATTTTAGGGACTCCCGCAGCACCACCCCGTGCTGATCCTCTGGGGGAGGATGTCTCCCCACTTTTGCTGCTTGTAGCCAGTCCCAGGAAAGTGGTCACAGGACTGTGAAGCGGTTCAGAGTTTATGGCAAAGCAGAACCAAAAGCAGGCACTAAGACTCCCTGCCCTCAGCTGGTGTCCCTGCTCCTATGCCTGGGAACAGTGCAACACATTGGTGCCACCCTTTCTTCTGTCCGTGGAGAGGTCTTGCTGCCACTCCTAAATGCACTCCAAACAGGGGAACTGTTTCCCCCTGCGACCCAGGGAATCCTCAGACTATACTGTCCACTCCCAGGCATCCACCCTTCCTCCCCACAGGAGCACCACTAAGCCAGGCATGACCCTGCCAGTAGGAGACTTCTAAAACTTCAGATTTTGTGTTCCGCTGCTTATAATACCTTGTGGTAGTCTCCATAAGTAGGGCTCCCTCCCTTCTGCAGCCCCAGCAGTTCTTATCTCCCCCAAATCAACTCTCCACAGCTCCAACCTTCCACAATTCTACTTGTAGACTTGCAGTTTTGTTCTCTCAGTGCTCAGATTGATTTCTTGGGTGTTCAGAATGATTTGATATTTATCTAGCTGTGTTCGAGGAATGAGGCAAGCTTAGGTCCCCTTACTCCTCCGCCATCTTAACTCCTCCCTTAAAATGTCATTTTTAAAGAAAAATGGTTGTCTAGTTAATAATCTAGTTGCTTGAGATAAATTTCAAGTTTCTAAACACTAATTCATCTCATTGAGTTGATCTGAATGTTAGGTCCTTTGAAGAAAAGAAAAAGAAAGATGTAGGTCTACAGTGGTGAGTTTAGAAAGAGAATTTAGGAAAGGGGATGTGCAGTAATAATTTGATCCATTTTTCTACACAATTTACTCGAGGTGTGAAATAATGACACGAAAAGAACATTCTGAAAAAGGGGAAAAAAAAAAGCTCCATTTCTCAATCATCATTCTCAACGGCTTATTAACTTCCTAACTTCCTTGTTCTCATCAACTTCCTAAAGCCACTCTAACAAATTGAGAACTTTTTTTAAGGGCAAGAAATCCAAGAGCTTCCCTTGGATATGCTTTCTTCCAAGGTTTAGAAATTCTCTTTATCTCTAACTTTCATGATGCAGCGCAAATCAACTTCCTTACTTAGTCTTCAGTGAATATGGAAAGTAGGCCAATAACTTTCAGATCTGTGGTTGTACCCCAGACTTCATTTTTTTTTTCTGCGAAGAAAACAATACCCTAGATTCTAAATTGTTTAGTAGTTTGTTTGCTTTAACTTTTCTAGCCTTTTAATATTCCTTGCAGCTATTCTTTCTACAACTTTCTAGTAACTCTTAGGCTGTGAGCCCCCAAAACCAACAGTACCAAATGAAAGAAATCATCTCTCCAGTCCCTCCCGTGTAATAGGTGTATCCCCTAAATTTAAAAATCACCGATTCTAATATGTTACCTTAATAAGAGAAGGGTACGGTGTTGCTTCTTTTTCTAATGATAAAATCTCAAAATTCGTAGGAATAAATTCATTCTTCGTTGGAAGTTTAAATTTACCATTCAGGTCAGCATTTTGCCATTTCTGGATGAATAATGAAAAACACAAAAGCAATTAAAGTTGGATTCAAAAGTTTAAAATAGTCCTTTTGCTTAATATCTAGGCAAATATTAAGGGGATAAATGTCACACAGCTTTTCTTTTCCCCCAAGATCCACTGATGGCTTTTTGTGAAACGTGAGTTGGTCTCTCTGTTACTAATGAACATTTTGTACTTATTCATCTTTCCTCTTTACATATTTCCAAAATGACCAGCTGAGGTTAAGGGGCAATCTGCAACTATAGAAACCTGAAAGACTACTTGGTCTATATGAAGATCACATTGGCTCTAGCTCCTTAAAGAAGGAAGAATAATCTGTACAGGGATATATTCCTGCAACTGGTTGTTTACAGAAGAATTAAACTTTCAGCTGCACTAAATTACTTCCATGTATGGCCTGAAAGCTAGACTAGAGGAGCTTCCTTCACTTCAGTACTGCTCCTTAAGGCCTGGTCCACAACTGTCCCAGATGACCATGTGAACTTCCAAGTGAACCAGTAATTCAAGGTCAAGAACAAAGAGGAGTCTTAAGCCTGCATTGTGCAACAGGGTTGATACAACCTGCAGATTGGATGTGCTCGATGGGCTAGTTCCAAAAGCTAAGTGGGACAGATCACAGGTCAGCGATTGTTGGACTCTTATAAGACTTCATTATTAAAAAAAAAAAAAAAAAAAAAAGCAGCCATGTGCCAATAATCCAGGTTCAGTAATTTGGTCTCCAGATGATCTAGCACGGCCTTGCAACTTCTGCAGTTCTATTCTGGTCCCTGAGTTTATACTTTTTGGCACTGGATGGTGGGGATGTTGGCCGTATTATTTATGAGTAGCAGCTTAGGTCTCCTGAATGGCTAAATAGTAGGGACTAGGAAATACGTAGTAAATAATTTCACTGCTAAACTCCCAGATAAATTTGGGTTGTTTTGTTTTTAATTAAGTCAGCTCTACCCCCAATATGGGGCTTGAACTCACAACCCTGAGATCAGGAGTCTTATGCTCTACCAACTGAGCCAGCCAGGCACGCCCCAGATATATTTGTTTTTTTAAAAAAATCCCATTCAGGGGCGCCTGGGTGGCTCAGTCATTAAGCGTCTGCCTGAGGCTCAGGTCATGATCCCAGGGTGCTGGGATCAAGCCCCGCATCAGGCTCCCTGCTCTGCGGGAAGCCTGCTTCTCCCTCTCCCACTCCCCCTGCTTGTGTTCCCTCTCTCGCGGTCTCTCTCTCTGTCAAATAAATAAATAAAATCTTAAAAAAAAAAAAAAATCCCATTCAGGAGGTGCCTGGGTGCCTCAGTCAGTTAAGCATCCAACTCTTGGTTTAGGCTCAGGATCGTGAGATCGAGCCCCACGTCAGGTTCTTTCCCTCTCCCTCTCTCCCTCCCCAACCCTCCCTCCACTTGCGCACTCTCTCTCTAAATTAAATAAATAAAATATTTTAAAAAAATTCCCATTCAGGGCAGGTTTGTTGTCATCAGAGGTTGGTGAATAGGAGTTCTCTTTTGTTTTAGGATTAATTCATGGGAGATCAGCATTCCTCACAGTTTAGCTAGATGGATATTTTCATACACAAAAGGGCTCCAGTGATCTCCTTCTGTGCTGTGAATAGGTCAGAGAAGTACCAGCAATGATTTTCTTAAACTATTTCTTCTTTTTTCTGTATTACACGGGTACACTTAAGAAATGTCCATTACTCAAGTTTAACTAGACTCTAGTCAGAGCAAGGCTCTCTGGTGTCTTCCCATGAATAAAGGACACAATCTCAAAGATATGGTGACAATGAAAATCAAAAAAGAAAAAATACTAGACAAGTAGATAAGACTCAAAAACAAAATCTGGACTACTGATGAATGGGGTAACATACTATCTAAACACACCTATTTTGAAACAAATTCTAATTCCCTTACACAGACAAAAGGAGCAATGAGACAATATGAGGCATACAATACAGCATCTCCTAAAGTGAAGACAGTGTGCATCCCAGAGACTGTTCCCACCTGTATATACAGCACGACCGTGAGGCCTTTGGACCCTTGTATCTGTCTTTCATGCTCTCTACTTCCATCTCTTCTTGCCTGTTTTGGTGTCTTTGCTTCTCTGTGTACTTTGGACTTCAGTGATCTTTGACTGCATGAAGCTGGGAGTCTGCTTTCAGCCCTGCTGATCTAACAGACACATGAGAAGATGGCCACAGTGCCATTTCTTCATGCAAAAACCTAAGTTCTAGCTCTCCATCTCCTTGTTCACTTTGCTCAGGACAGTACAGACAGCCATGGGCCATCACTCTCCATACTCTGGGCCATGAGTTGGTTGATGTAGAGAGCTCATGCTCCTGTGTGTCCCTCACACATCAAGTTTGTTCACAGATGAGCAAACCCTACCTTAATGACTTCATCTGGTATGGCTTCTTGCTTGTACTGGGTTCCATACCACTCTTCTGTGTGGTCAGTTTTTCCTTCAAAGGACTTGGAAACTATTGCAACCCTAAAAGTAAGTGGAAAAAACAGACAGACACCATAAACTCACGTTGGATACATGAATTTATAGAACCTTACTCATTAAAATATAAATAATATCCAAGAACATGGTGGGCCTCTAAGACCCAGTAAATCCGCTAACACTTAGTCAAAATAGGCAACCAAGTATAGAAGTTTCTGACCATGGTCTCTGTTACCCTTTGGTTGGAGCCCTTCATTTTTAATGTGAAAAACTGTGTGCAGGACTCTTGTGGGTAATGCTACTGACTAAAATTTTAAAAGAAGAGTAGCTAGGGAAAAAAATGGAACAAAGTCAGTTGTAAAATAGTCTTTAAAAAAGCAAAACAAAGTACTCCTTCCAGAAACAGCCGAGGACCAGGGTTAACAAAAATAGCTAACCCCCCCGCCCCAACCCTTGTTGGCTCATCCAGAGATCCAAAAAACCAAAAACACACTTTTATTATTATTCACTAAGTTTGTGCTCTATGGTTTTTTTCCTGCCAGAGACTACCATCAAATATATCTAGTACATGTACATTGGCCTTCATGCTTCTAGAGATAAAGGAAACAAGACCAAGAAACACCTCTCTATCTTCTGATTTGCCAGTTTTTTGTGTGTGTGTGTGTGTGAGAGAGAGAGAGAGAGACAATGCTATTCTTTAATTCTATCTACAAAGAATTGGCTGCTGATATGGTATTCCTGATCTGGCCTAGCTGCCTCTGACCACTTAAGAATATATTCCATAGAAAGAGAGGGAGGAATCATAGGGCTTAATGGATGGAAGAGTTCTGTTATCGTGTCCAGAAGTAGTGATCCATGTTGGCATTTTGAGAATTCCTTTTGCAGGTATACGTGGCGTGTGTATAGAACTCATGTGGCCACATGAAGGATATGTAATGTTTGTTAAGGACACCTATTCAATACATGACAGAGCCTCCTAAGACTCAGCCAGAGAAAGTGCTTCTACTCCTGGTGACTTCCTAAAAAACGAATGGACTGATTCTCAAGGAGAACTCCGAAAACTGGGTTAGGAAGTAAAATAACCTGGTAGACAGGTGGTATTCCTATCTTCTCTTCCAAGAGGTGCCTGATTTTGGACAAGTTTGTTACAAAGGTGGCTTTGGTCTCCCTGAATGATGGCCCACACATCAGAATAATGTACAAACTACTGATGACAACCTGTGAACACTGAAGCATTCATGTGGCAGTGGACACGGCCCCTGAAACAAGAGCACCTTAAACTCTGTCCTGAGAGAGAAAGTGAATAAGCTCAGGGAAGGCTGCCAGGTGCTTTGGAGGATGACTTAGGACACAGAAAGCAACAGACACTGGAGGCTGCTCAGTAATGCTCAGGTTAAAAAGGGGGAGAAGAGAGGCAATTGGTCAGGTACAATTCTAAGGGATTTAGATAGCTGTATACCAAAGTAAAGTGGATGGGTAACATTTGAAATGTTACGCTAGTAAATATGAAATAAACACAGTTCCCTCAAACAAGGCAAACATCAAATACTGTCCTGACAAAGAGGGATACCTTTGCAGAACAAGAACTAGTAGACCACTGAGGAATTTAAAACTGAAACATACAGTGAAAAACTATTTAAAAATAAATTATAAAAGGTAAGCAAGGGGAATAACAGAAGAGACAGAGTATATACACATCAGACCTACACAGAAATCTACAAACCAGAGTGTGAAAGCACAAGAGACTTAAGTTAGGAAAAAAAGAAGAGAAGGCACAATAATCTAAGTATGCCACGGAGAGCTGCAATATATTTAACTGCAGACAGCTGAGAAAAACTAGCACAGATACTGTTACATCCTTAGACTATCTGCTGGAAATCTAATTATGCTTCAAAATAGTCTTGAGTTTTTCTAAGTGTGTGTGTGACAATGCTATTCTTTAATTCTATCTACAAAGAACTGACTGCTGATATGGTACTAACATGGTCCTTAGAAAGAAGAGAGAAAAAGAACTTTTCTTTGTATACCGCAACTTGCAACAGTGAAACAGTGGCTAGAATGAATGCCCACCACTGGCTTCAGGTCAGCCATTTAGAAATGTTCAAAGGTAATGAACAGCTGTTGAAGCTCTACAGAACTCATTCAGAAACAGTAAGCATTCTGACTATAGACATTAAAAGGGAATACGGCTCCCCAGATATGAATTCTCATGAGATTTTTGCAAATAATCCCTGAGAGAGCAAAGGTGGAAAGACATCCAAGAATGAGGAGAGGCTTCACAGGTAATTGTGATGAATTCAAACAGAATTAATAGAGAGGGTACAGATCTGGCCATCAGAAACTTGGATTCTGGTCAAGACTCTGACTTATTTTCTTTGAGATCTTGCCAAAATCACAGTTAAGATCTAAATTAGGCAAGTCTCTGGGCTTCAGTTTCACTACTTTTTAAGTAAGGACTCTAAGTAGATGAACTCTATCCTTCCACTAGAAGAATTCTACAATATCATGATATCAAATCATATTTTCAAAAGACATGCCTCAAAGAAGAAAGAAGGTACAAAAAAAATCTATTGATGAGACCCAAAGCCAAACTTAAAGAATTGTGACAGGAAGGCCACAGTGCTGAAGAAATTGAGGTTCATGAAAAATGCTAAAAAAAACACCTTTTAAAAGGGTTTCTTAAAGAAAGAAGGAATCAAGAAAGATTAGGCTAAAGGCTTAGAGAAGTCAACCAACTTTTATTGAGCCCTTGGTAACTTGAATCTGAAAAAAAACACAGTTCTTACCTGGAAGGACCTCATAATCCAACAGGACACAAGACCTAAAGCAAAATGTGATACACATTTTGGTCTCAGATTGGCAGATGACAGGACTATTGACCTCTTATTTATACTGTTTTTAGAAAAAACATGGGTCGGGGTGCCTGGGTGGCTCAATCCATTAAGCAGTTGCCTGCGGCTCAGGTTGTGATCCCAGGGTCCTGGGATCGAGCCCCACGTTGGGCTCTCTGCTCAGTGAGGAGCCTGCTCCTCCCTCTCTCTGCCCCTGCCCCCCACTTGTGCTCTCTCTCTCCCTCAAATAAATAAAATCTTTTAAAAAAAGAAAAAACAGGGGGCGCCTGGGTGGCTCAGTTGGTTAAGCGACTGCCTTCGGCTCAGGTCATGATCCTGGAGTCCCGGGATCAAGTCCCGCATAGGGCTTCCTGCTCGGCAGGGAGTCTGCTTCTCCCTCTGACCCTCCCCTTCTCGTGCTCTCTCATTCTCACTGTCAAATAAATAAATAAAATCTTTAAAAAATAAATAAATAAATAAATAAATAAAAGAAAAAAAAGAAAAAACATGGGTCTTTAAACTGCAAAGGTGGACCAAACAACAGAAAAAAAGGGGGTTGAAACCCAGGCCAGGATTAATGAGTGAGCCAGCCAAGTAAATGAATTCACATCTCCAACGCAGATCATTCACATTCTCTGATGCTTAGGCAACTAACAAATCCCAGGTAGGATCACTGCCCATCAACTTTTAGAAACACTGGAGGACAGGAGAAGAGGCAGAAGATGGAGATGGACAAATGCTCTAATTTTCAGAAAGGGAAAGGAGTAGAGCCTAAAAAAGTGTAAGCCAGTGGTTTAGGCACTGACCTCTCACAAAAGTCAACTGTCAGACTACCAAACATTTAGACAAGAAGACAATTATCCTAGGACCTGCACAGATTCAGCAAGAACTCCTCCTAAACAAAGATTTACTTATGACTTAGGCAGGGGATGTGGCCAAGACTCTATAGCTGTACTTGTAGATTTAATTTGGCAAAATGGAAATCCTGTCGCATGGTACAACATAGATGAACCTTAAAGACATTATGCTAAGTGAAATAAAGATACATTGTATGAGTCCACTGATATTAGATATGTAAGTAGTCAAATTCATGAAAACAAAGTAGAATGGTTGTTACCAGGAGATGGTAAGAGGGAGAAAAGAGGACTTGTTTAATGGGTACAGTTTCAATTTCACAAGGTGAATAAGTTCTGGAGATCTGCTTCACAACAATATTAATATATTTAACAATATGAATATAATACTGAACTGTACACTTAGAAATGGTTAAAACTGTAAATTTTATATTATGTGTTTTTTTTTTAAAGATTTTATTTATTTATTTGAGAGAGAGAGAATGAGAGAGAGCACATGAGAGGGGGGAGGGCCAGAGGGAGAAGCAGGCTCCCCGCCGAGCAGGGAGCCCGATGCGGGACTCGATCCAGGGACTCCAGGATCATGACCTGAGCCGAAGGCAGTCGCTTAACCAACTGAGCCACCCAGGCGCCCCTATTATGTGTTTTTTTACCACACAAAAAAGACATCCTCTGAACATATGTGTGTGGGCCTATTTCTGGACTCTGTTCTATTCTAATGATTTCTTTTTGATCCTCAGGCCAATGCACAATGTCGTAATTAACGTAGCTTTATAGTTAGCCTCCAAATCCAATAGTTTGAGTCCTCCAACTTTTGTTTTTATGTTCAAGAGTGTTATGGCTGGGCACCTGGGTGGCTCAGTTGGTTAAGCAACGACTCTTGATTTCAGCTCGGGGCATTATCTCAGGGTCCTGGGGTCGAGCCCCCTGTCAGGCTCCAGGCTCAGCATGGAGTCTGCTCAAGATTCTCTCTCTCTCCCAATGCCCTTCCCCCCCACCCCATACTTGCTCTCTCTCTACGATAAATAAAGAAATCTTAAAAAAAAAAGAGTGTTATGGATAATCCAGGTCCTTTGTATGCCCATAGGTATTTTGGAATCAGTTTACCAATTACTAAAAGGAAAAACGGCTACTAGGATTTTGACTGTGATTACACAGAGTCTATGAATCAGACTGGAGAGAATTTAATAGCAAATCTCCTAACAAGGTCTTTAATTTCTTTCGGCACTGTTTTGTAGTTTATGTTGAAGTCTTGCTTATATTTGATTAAATTCATTCCTAGTTATTTACATTTTTGTTGCTATTGTAAATGTTTTCTCTTTCAATTTTGAAATAATTACAAATTCATAGGAAGTTACAAAAATAATAGAGGGAGGTCCCGTGTACTCTTCACCCAGTTCCCTCAATGGTTAATTAACTCTTACATTAATTATAGTAAAATACCCAAACTAGGAAAATGGCATTGATAGAATGTGTACATAGAGTTAGTTCTATGTCATTTTATCATATTTACCACATTGTGTAACTACCAATAATATTTCTTTTAATTTTCCCATCGTTTGTTGCTAGTACATGTCTGGAAAAGTGCAAACAACGGTAACTAGGAAAAAGACTTTGATGGAATAGTTCTGTCAGAAGGATTTTTCTTCTTCAAAAACTTCTACCAGATTTTTGATTTTATTCATAAAATGACTGTTCCAAAAAACATATTTACTCAATCTCCAAGTTCCCAGGAGAATTTTGGAAATATGTGCTGGACAGAGGAAAAAAATAAAAAATGCAAAATATGTGCCCCTTAAGTATATTCCTAGTATTATTTCACTTTGGAAAACATGGATGAAATTCAATTTTGAGGCAGAAACATCATGGGATAGTTCCTCAGCTCTTTAGGGCTGAACCTCCTCTAATAAGAATATCTGTTACTGTAAGAGCTCCTCCAACTTTTGATCTCTTGGTTAATCACTGATCAGTGAGAAGGATTCTGAGACTGTAATACGTCCACTTAAGAAAAAAGAGGGTGTCCTCACTTGTTTATGATTATGAAGCCAGATATGTAATCTGACACCTTGGGTATTTGAGTTAGGATGAAGTCAGGTTAAGATGATCTATTATTACATTTTATTCATGATAATGAAATTATGATTATTATTTTAAGATTGATTTATTTGTTTTAGAGAGAGAGAGTGGGAGAAAAAGAGAGAGAGAGAGAGGGAGAATCCTCAAGCAGACTCCCTTCTGAGCATGAAGCCCAATGCAGGGCTCAATACCAGGACCCTGAGATCATGACCTGAGCCAAAATCAGGAGTCAGATGCCCAACTGACTAAGCTATCCAGGCACCTCTTGTTTTGTTTTTTAAAAAAGTCTTCATGTGGGCGCCTGGGTGGCTCAGTCGTTAAGCATCTGCCTTCGGCTCAGGTCATGGTTCCAGGGTCCTGGGATCGAGCCCCACATCGGGCTCCCTGCTCGGCGGGAAGCCTGCTTCTCTCTCTCCCACTTCCCCTGCTTGTGTTCCCTCTCTCTCAATGTCTCTGTCAAATAAAATCTTTAAAAAAAATTAAAAAATAAAAAAGTGTTCATATTTTAGAGATCCTGCCTCAAAATCATCTAGAGTGGAGGGAGGATGAGTGAGGAGAGGGGTAGTTAAAGATAAGAAAGGCTGGTCACGTACTGATTTGCTGATGTTTGGTATTGCTTCATTATACTATTCTTTCTACTTTAATCATGTTCGATAACAAGTTTAAAAGCATTTTATTCACAATTCCAAATTTTCAGCTCCTAATCATTACTGAAAATTTAGTATGTAGCAGTAAAATCTGTAGAGTGACTCACCGGACATTTTCTGGTCTGAGTTTATCGAGAACCATCTCTATTAAGTCAGGTCTAAATTCTTCCAGTAAATATTCAGCCGTGAGCACTTCTTCTAGGGGATAATACTTATTAAAAGGAAAATAGATAGATAAATAAAATATGCAAGGCTACTATAGAGTCTAACTTATTAAAGCAAACAAATCTCTAACACATTAAACCCATTATTTTACACACACACCCCACATCCTCCTTCAATTAAATTTTACTCTGCTGGAAAAATTTCTTTTTTCTTTCTTACCACACTTGAAGCAGTTTCCTGTTGTACAATGATTTTGCAGTTAATCCCCACATACATTTACATGATAGCAAAATCACATTTTTTTTTTCAAGGAAAAGTGTAGTATTTCTGGCTAAAAACTGAATACTTGTTAATGAAGAAAATTTGATAGTGAAATGCTGACACCTATAGGATTCTTAACATAAAGTACATACATTTTTATAAACAGAATTTCCTCTCAAATTTCTATGAATGAAATCAGAAAAGCATTTAGAAAGTTGTTGTGGGGGGAAATAGCTTATATTTTTTGGCTAGGGAAGAAAAATAATGTCGAAGATGCTTTCTATTAGTAAAAGCAACCTCCAATACACTCAGACTGATTCATTCATTCAACAAATATTTAACGAGTATCTACTCTGTGCCAGGCAAGATAGATCATGTCCCTGCTCCCTAAGGAGCTTATAATTTTTTTTTTATTTTTGCATACAATAGTACATTTAGTAATGAAGACTCAAGGCTGAACTAAAATACTAAACAACAATGAACATGTAAGTTAGGAGAGGAAGTGAACAGAGTTTTAAAGTTTTTTGTTTTTAATTCCAGTATGGTTAACATAGAGTGTTATATTAGTTTCAGATGTACAAATACAGTGATTCAACAATTCTATATTACTCAGTGTTCATCAAGATAAGTGCACTCTTAAAAAAAAAAAAAAAAGATAAGTGTACTCTTAATCCCCTTCACTTATTTTACCCAAGGAGCTTATATTGTAATTGGGAGGGAGGTAGACAGTAAACAAATAGTGTCATTATAGTGATAGGTGCTATGAATTAAAAAGGGGCGGGGCATGACTGGGATGTCAGGGAAGGTCTCTGTGAGGAAGAGACACCTAAGTGGAAATCCAAATGATAAGAACCCCAGTCATGCAAAGACAAGAGAGAAGAGAGTTCCAGGTAGAGAAAACAGCAAATGTAAAAGGTACTAAGAGGGAGGAACAAACTTAATGCTTGAAGATCAGGCAGGCAGGCAGCCAGTATAGCTGGAGGAGAATGAGAATGGGAGGGATGAGCTGGGGAGTTATATAGAACATGGTTAGAGAGACAGGCTGGGGCCAGATCACCTTGTAGGCCAACGTGACATTTTGGATTTTATTCGAACTCTGACAGGAAACTACTGAGGACTTGACACAGAGAAGAGAAACAATCTGATTTTGGTTTTCAAAAGATTACCAAGACTGGGATAATAAACTATAGTGTAGAACAAGAGGGAAAACCGAGATCCCAGGTAAGAGATTATAATGGTAGTCAAGGCAAGAAATGATGGTAGCTCAGACTAGGGTGGTAGCAACAGAAATGGAGAAAAGTAGATGATCTATATAGCTTTCACATAATTAGCAATTGACACATTGTAGAATTGAAAAATATTTAAATCGAAGAAGCAAAATGCCTCTGTATGAAAAATCCTATAGATGATAATTTTTAGGATGATGAAAATTAAGATTTTAAGCATTGCTTGGCATCAAAGTTTGCCTGGTTGCTACAAAGTCTAAAGTTTTATACTGCAGCTTCCTTATCATTCATGTAGTACTAAAGGTAATATATGCAGGATCACAAAAATACTCTACATACCAATATACATATAAAATAACAAACTTACATGCAATATTCCTGCAATCTTAGAGGTATAGCCCCGTGGCCTCTCTTTATCTTTAAACCTAAATGCAACAGCATTCAAGTCCTAAAATGTAAAATTAATCCAATTATACATAAGTCAACTACTATTTAGAAATACTTTAAGAAAAAAAGGTTCTTTCTGTAGTGTTTAGTTTGCACTACAGACTTTCTACTCCACATTTAACTTTATCAGAAAAAATCGGCTATGCTTGATTTAGAAATGTACAGAACATGAATGAAAATAACCAAAACAGAATAGGATTCTTTAGCCTAATTACTGAAACTATTAGTCAAAGAATTAGGAAAACTGGAAGAACCTTGCAAGATCAACAGTTGCACAGATGATCATTTTGTTGATCCATTCAGAGAACTGCACCCAGATTAGAAGTTCCTGTCCTAGGTTCCACAAGCAGAGTATCCCTTTAAACTTTTACCTAAGTAAAAAGGATTTCTCTCATCCTAAAATACATTTCAGAATCTCAATAGGCCTTAAATATAAAGCACATATTTTTATAAAACATTTAAAAGAAGGCTTTAAAATTCTGGAAGGGGTTGCCTGGGTGGCGCAGTCAGTTGAGCATCCAACTCTTGGTTTTGGCTCAGGTCGTGTCTCAGGGTTGTGGGATTAAGCCCTGTGTCTGCCTAAAACACTCTTTCTCCCTCTCCCTGTGTCCCTCTCCCCTGTGTGCTCTCTCTCTCTCTCAAATAAATAAATCTTTAAAAATAAAAAAATAAATAATGAAATTTTGAAAGACAGAGAACTTTTGTTTTATTAAAAAATAATAAGGGACAGCCAGGCTTTTCCATACATACAAGAACAATAAAATCATTTTTAAGAACACAATCATATAGGGGCGCCTGGGTGGCCCAGTCGGTTAAGCGTCTGCCTTCGGCTCAGGTCATGATCCTGGGGTCCTGGGATCGAGCCCCACGTCCGGCTCCCTGCTCAGCAGAGAGCCTGCTTTTCCCTCTTCCTCTGCCTGCCACTCTGCCTACTTGTGCTCTCTATCTCTCTGTCAAATAAATAAATAAATAAATCTTTAAAAAAAAACCACAATCATATATATAAAACAATTCACAATTTCTTTGAAAGTTCATTGTAGATTTTTGTCAGCAGATCTGAAAATGACAGAGGCTCATGAAGCTTCAGGCAAACAGTAAGGTACACCCTGACAGATATTAAGCTCAAGAAACTGCTGGCTTTCTTCTGAGGGATAGAAAAGCAATGTCTTTTTCCCTCGGAAAAAAAGATTACTTGATGCCTTAGCCCTAATTGTGCCCCAGATAGCCAATCAAAGTAGTACAACTAAGCTTTAACTAAAGCTACTACGCATTGCAAGATTTTAGAGTTTAAATAACAACAAAAACCCCCAAAACTTTAAGTTTCACTGAGCCTTAAATTTAAATTAATTCACATATATATGTTTTCTGAAAAATTTCCTTAAGAAAAATTTTAGTGAAACAAAATTACCTTGCATTCTTGGAAAACCCATTCTTGAGGTCCTTCTGCACGTAACTTCTGAATGTATTGAAACATGTGCAAAATTATATCTTCAACGTGTACTGGGAAAAAAGGGGCATACTTAAAAACCATTCAGTCCTTGAATCCATCAAATCAGTGAGCTCACTCCTAAGGTAAAGTCAGATGAGTAGAAACCAGAGACTGGTTTTAGGGTCCCACACACAGGGCCCTCCAGGGTCTGGGATATGTGACAGAAAGGACTTTGGGGAAGTTAATGAGCCAATGAAAAGCTAAGTACACATTTCACAAGTGCAACATAATGACAGGTCATTAAGAAGAAAAAATCATTCATGAAATGAAGGCCAAGTTGCGCATGAAAAATAAAATGGATGAATTATACGAATTAAAGGTTTTATGGCTTTACAACATAAAACAGATCCACAGCATGAAGAAATTTTAGAAAATGTATCATAAGAAGTCAATTTTCATTAAAAAACCAAAAAGGTCAATACTTACATATTCCTTCCTCAGTCAGGTCCACATTAATGATAAAAAACATAAAACCTCGGGCTCCTTCCTTCTGTCCACCAACAAGAGTATTTACCCAGCCTGTAACATTCAAAGGAAATCAAAACAGGGTTGTATGTGTGGTTTCTTTTAAGACAAAGAATGTTCTTTTTAATTTATACTATATGTTCCCAAGATATTAGAATGGACCACTTGCAGAAAAGAGCAGAAAAATGGGTTCAGAAAAACCATTTCAGACACTGTGGAAGACTGATGGGATTTTTTGGGTTGGGAGGTTCCTCAGGACTCTTCAAGTCAGTTCCCAGGCAAGAGTAGACTACCATGCTTAAGTATTATATAAAAGCAGAGCCTGAGTTGAGAGGGGCTTTGGAAATCATCTACTGACTAGATCCTAGTACACCCTCTGGTCTGAAGGATAAGAGCAAGCAAATAAATAAGGTATACTGTTATTTCAGAGATGGTGAAGAATACCCAATGTGAGCTTTTACTTTCGAACCTCTCTGTTATTTAAAACATGTAGCACAGTATCTTTTGAAAAATCTAAACTTCACTGCACAATTCTGAAGGGTAAAACAATTATGGGGGGGAACCCAAAGCAAAAAGAACAAAAGCGCACTAACAACTACCACCTCACTCTCCCATAGACCCCAAACCAACCTACCCACAAATGCTCCTTCACACAAAAAAATCTAGGAGAAAACGAGAGCCAGAGTAAAAGGATGTGGGGTACTACACTCAGAAACTGGTGCCCAAAAGACTTACCCTTTGACTTCAGTTCTGATAACAGACTTCCAGGACCTTCATGACCAATGAGATGACCAAGATAATGGCCAGGATTTGATTTGTAGTATTTCTGAAGGTCAGGTATGGGAAAAGTCACATAAAGATTCCTAATATCCTTAATGGGTACTATTTTGTAAAGTTGCTGGAAAAAAAATAATCAAGAAAGATTAGCTATATCAACTGCTACTGAATAAAATATTTATAAACTATGAAGAATACAGATTTTCATGGAAAAATCCCAAATTCAAAAGAGAATCAATTGCCAGAGAAAACTGTACTGACCACAAAAAGTAACTGGCCTGGGCTCTCTCTAAGTGGACTTTCATTACAGTTGGTGCACAGCCTATTTCTGGTCCCCTCGACCATGCGGCTCAATATGCTTGCCTTCTGGCACTGGAGAACAGCTTCTACAGTTTATCAAGGCTCTAACTACAAAAACTACTTTTAGCATGCAAAGATCAGGTATCCGTTGATATCTTTTTGGTGAAACATTATCCCTAATAAATGTGAAACTGATTCAATTATTCAAACAAATATTAAAAATTGTATAAACAGGGGTGCCTGGGCAGCTCAGTCATTTGGGTGTCTGCCTTGGACTCGGGTCATGGTCTCTGGGTCCTGGAATCAAGCGCTGTATCAGGCTTCCTGCTCAGCGGGGAGTCTGCTTCTCTCTCTTTCCCCCTTTGCCTCTCCCCACCACTCGTTCTCTCTCAAATAAATAAAATCTTAAAAAAAAAAAAAGGATGAAAAAAACCTGTATAAATAAACCTTTCAAAATTTTTCATCTACACTTTGGTAAACTAGGCATATATTATGTCCATGAATTAAAAAAGAAAAAATATCAGAAATACATGCACTTACTTTAAGATGTTCTTCTTGGAAAGGGTGTTCAGGAAATTCTGGCAGTGGGACATTTTTGTTCTCAACTTCAGAAAATAACTTTACCACCAGATTAGTCAAGTTGTCTAAAGATTCTGTAAGAAAACAGACAATAAAAACAGAACTTAAACTATCATAACATGAGAGGTAGTATTTAAAACCTTAAGATCATATATACATATATAAAATCACTATGATTTTTACCTTAAACTTACACGTTACATGTCATTTATATCTCAATAAAGCTAAACAAAACCTTAGGATCTCCTGAAAAACCTTCCGACTATTAAAAAGAAAATCTACGATTTTTTTAAAGCTTCATCTGATGAAGTTGAAGCACTCCGTTCAACCCTGTCAGTGCCTGTGTAACTTCTAAAGCTAAGCAATACCAATAATGATGATAACTCACACATGTCTAGCTCTTTACAGTTTAAAAACTGTTCCACAAATGTTTCTTGCAATAAATTTAAAACACGTATTAAAGACGGTAATAGAATAATTGGCTGCACTTGGAAAACTATTTGATCTACAATTGCCAACAGGCACATACTAAACCATCAGCTGATAGATTATAACATATACTTTACAAATAGACACAATCTAATAAGCCCATTGTTAAAAGTCAAATGTTAGAGTCTGTGAGTGATTCTGTGGGGAAAGAGTACAAAATGATAAAAAGAATCTTGGGTGGGGAGACTAGAGGACCTGGATCCTAACCCTGGCTTCCCCAACCATATCAACTGACTACCTGGACAACCTGGTTAACCACTTCAGGTTCTGTAAAATGAGAACACTGGGTGAGATAATCACAAGTCTCTTCCAAGGTCTAACATTACATGATTCTGTATCATGATGTGCCAAACTCATTCAAAGACTTGTAATTGTTGTTAGAATGATATGGCCACTTAAGCTATTCTATGTTATCGCCTACCTATATTCTTTTATAGAGTTATACTTGAAAAGCTTATAAAGATGTATAATATGTTCACTGCAGCACTGTTTATAACAAAAACTGGAAATGACCTAAACATCTATGAGCATGTGAATATTATGAAATGTCTATACATTAGAATTTTATGCAGTCATTAATAAGGGAGAAATCTCTATGTGCTGATACAAAAGTATCTGAAAGCCCTATGAAGTGAAAACTGCAGGCAATCTCAATTTTTTAACAGGCACACTTACATGTGAGTATATTAACAAAATCCCACTTTTGGAAGTATAACAAGAAATGACTTAAGGTGAAATATCTGAGGAGAGGGCATTGTCATCACAGGATGGGAGGAAAGAGAAAAACTTGATTTCTACTTTATACCTTTCTATGTGGGATAAATTTTCCATGTACACATATTTCCATCATTCAAAAAATTAAAAAGTGAAAAAAGGTTCTTTTTTTTTTTTTTTTTAAGTAATCTCTATGTCCAACATGGGGCTTGAACTCATGGACCCTGATATCAAGAGTGGCATGCTCTACTGACTGAGCCAGCCAGGTGCTCAAAAGGTTATCTTTTTATAAACAAGATAACCCGTCACCTTGATTCTGTCTCCTCAAGAATAGGTTATTTATAAATGGTATAAACATTCATCACCTGTTACTGTCAGGAAGCATTTGGATCAAGTAAGAAATTTCCCTTGATATTCTATGACCCATTTTGAACTTTTCCATGAACTCTTTAGAGAGCACTTAATCACTATTTGAGATTTGCCTTTATATCGTATGAAATTCTTTTAGCCCTATGAATATGGGCATTTGCACTTTACTTATTAAACATACATATTTTTCCTTCAATTTTTTGATATGTATGCAGGACCTCAAAATGTCCAGAGCCAAATATGAGGTGGACCAGTGGCTGCTTGTTAAATGACAAGGGATGGAGTGGGTGTATCTGGAGAAAGAGATGGCAGAGATATCTTTATGCACAGATGGAACATATGACTTGAAACAAGGTGGGCAGTAAACAAAGGTTTATCAACCTGAGGTGCTGGCTACAGTGAGGCCCTTTAGACTAAGCAAGGTTCTACCAGGTGGGCCTTTCGAGTATTTCTACCCTAAAAGCGTAAGTTCACAGTATAGCTTTTTAAAGGTACAGCAGCTATCTGATACTGCAGTCTGTCTTCCCCACTAAGCAGTGCGCTACTGGAGATCAGGGAACTGAGTCCCTTTCATCGTTACATCGTGAGGACTTGGCAATCCCAGTGTCTGTACTTGATAGTTACCTACTTGCCAAGTTTCCAGGTAATTAGTGCTGCCACAACTAGAGGGATGATCCCGTGGGAGAACAGAGAAAAACCTTTTTGTCCCTTTGTGACAGAGATCCTTCCACATGGTTATTCTTTCTCTCCCCTCATCCTAGAAGAAGGAGCGGATTTTCTATTAATCCTCTGAGAGATCCTGTTTCCTCCTCATACCTCTTGTGCTGCAAGGACACCTCTCCCAGGTCCCTCATCAAGTCCACTGAGCTCAGCACAGGTCAGTCACACTAGGAGAGTGATGTGTATGCAATCAGAGAACTGAAACATCTGTTTCTTTTAGACACTTACTCTGTCACTTCCAATAAACAGGGAACAAGGAAGGCAGGCCTGCTGCCTGATTCATCTGTTGTCATTATCACTCGCCCAATAAGTGCTTACTGAAATCAAGTGTTTTTCATCTCAATACAACACAGACAAAAATATTCCCAGGACTAGGCTCTAAATACCAAGTGATATTTAACACTCTAGAACTAGCTACTGTTAGCAAGCACACAGAATTATAGAGACACTTTTTATTTCATTGGCTTCACTCCTTAGACCCATTTTATACCCTGGCTCTTATTACCAACTTAAAATATATGTTGCTTATTTTCTACTTACAAATGTAACATTTGCCAAAAGTAGAAAACTAACAACAAATGTAAAAAGAAAGAAACAAAAGTCGTTCATAATCTTATGCTTATGGGATGCTTAAAAGTAGCTACCGTTTATGAAGCATTTGCTATGTGCCAGGCACCATGCTAAACACTTCTGCATTATCTTGATTAAACCTCCTAACAGGTTATGAGGTAACACGCCTCCATTTTAAAAATGTAAAAACTAGAGTTCAGAGATCTGAAGTAACTCTGTTAGCTCAAGGCCACACAGCTAAGTAGGTGGTATATCTGGAATTCAAACTCAAACTGTAAGAGTCTAGAGCATGAGTTCTCAACTACTATATCACATTAAATTTCTAGTATGTTTTTCTATTTTGTCTTATGTCTATACCATGTATGTCTATTATAATTTTTTATAAATCCCCAAATGGATCATATAGCACATAGTTTTTAGAGTGCTTTTGCTTTCTATTGGACACATTAAGAATATTTTCCCATGGGGGCGCCTGGGTGGCTCAGTCATTAAGCGTCTGCCTTTGGCTCAGGTCATGATCCCAGGGTCCTGGGATCGAGTCCCACATCGGGCTCCCTGCCCCGCGGGAAGCCTGCTTCTCCCTCTCCCACTCCCCCTACTTGTGTTCCCTCTCTTGCTGTCTCTCTGTCAAATAAATAAATAAAATCTTTAAAAAAAAAAAAGAATATTTTCCCATGCTATTAAAACAGTCATAAAATTATTTATTCATTCAATATATATTTTACCATGTGCCTATGATGTGTCAAGCACTAACTCACGCACTGGGGACAAAGTAGTGAACAAAACAGCTTCTATTCTCAAGTAAATTACTTTCTAGTATGGTGGGCAATGATAAATATTTAATATTTCAGGTGGTAATAAATGTTGTAAAGAAAAATAAAGCAGGTAGGAGAATAGAAAGTGAGAGAAGAGATGCAATTTTCTATAAGATGCCCTATTACATAGCTATAACATCATTATTTAACCCATCTTCTATTAATGAACAATCAGATCGTTTCTAACTTTTCACTAATACTATATTGACAGAAATATCCTACTGCATCAACTTTTTGAACAACTCTGGTTATTTCCTTAGATTGCATTTCCAGAAGTAAAAACAAACTTTTTAAGGATGATGCACCATGCTAACCTGTTCTCCAGAAAGTCTAGAACAATTGCATAAATGGTATACATCATCACCAATACAAAAGGGCACTGCTCCTCCATAATGAGTATTACTTAAAAACAAAATTATGGTAATTTAACAGGAGGAAACACTATCTTGTCTTACTTAATTTGCACTTAAAAAGTCAAACCTTTATATGAAAGCAGCCCAAGTGTCCATTGATAGATGAATGAAGATGTGGTGTATATATACAATGGATTATACTACTCAACCATAAAAAAGGATGAGATCTTACCATCTGCAACAACACCGATGGAGCTAGACAGTATAATGTTAAGTGAAATAAGTCAGTCAGAGAAAGACCAGTACTGTATGATTTCACTCATATGTGGAATTTAAGAAACAAAACAAAGTGTGGGGGGGCGGGGAGGAGAGAGACAAATCAAGAAACAGACTCGTAATGACAGAGAACAAACTGATGGTTACCATGGGGGAAGTTGAGGGGGATGCGTGAAATAGGTGATGGGGATTAAGGAGTGCACTTTTGTGGTGATGAGCACTGGGTGATGTACGGAATTGTTGAATCACTATACTGTACACCTGAAACTAATATAACACTGTATATTAACCAACTGGAATTAAAAACTTTAAAAAATAAAATTAAAAAATAATAAGAAAATAAATAAAAAGTCAAACCTTTGTTTATATTGCAAATCATTTTTCCAGTGTATCATCATCTGCCTTTTTTTCCCCCCGTTATCTGCCTTTTAATCTTGTTCCTAGTTTTCTGAATTGTTACAAGGTCAAATCTGTTAATCTTTCCCTTTATACTTCCTTTCTTTGCTTTTATATGTTTATAGTACCTACTAGTAATTTATATTTTTCTCAGGTCTTCATTTTAAATCATCTATACTCCTTTTTAGAACACAGAGTTAAAAACAAAATTCCTTGTTCCTTCTCCAACAAGGAAATCATTTTCAAAAGCCTCTGAGCAGATAAAAGGCCATATATCCTTCTCCCAACACTTTCAAAGAGCCAAATGGAAAACTTAAGATTATCCAATTCTATGAAAAATTTTAAGGATTCTTACCTCGACCTAACACACAAATAGCCATTAAGTTGGATGAATAATAAGTAGAATGGAATTTCAGTAGCTCCTGTCTTACATCAATGCCTTCTTGGTTTGGTCTAGTCTCTAAAGTATATTTGTTACCTGAAAAGGAAGAAAAACATTTCTTAGAAAAAGAAAAATATGTGGACTTTAAAGTTATGGAATTATTACTGACATTGCTATAAAGTAAACTTAAAAAACAGAGTTCTAGCTAACATACATAATGATTAATTAATATGTCTGAACATAAGCTGGATAAACAGGAAAGAAGAACACAAATTAATAACATTTTAAACTACAGAGAGTCTTCCCTCAGGAACTTAAAGGGCTTTATGAAAATTATACAACTTAAAATCCCCATGAGATAGTAGGTATTATGAGCACTTATAGGACAAAATGAGATCTACATGGCCTCCATTCACACTTTAATTTTCAATTCCCTATGTGCTCCATAATTAATTGAAGAAAGTCACTGAGGGATCTTTTTGGAACATGCCAAGTTACTTGTGGAAAGAAATGTACTATTCTTGGCTGAAACATTAAATTTGTGATGTGAATTCTCACGGATTTGATCTAGACTGGTAAAAATAGGATGCAATGCTATTTTTATAAGTCTCAAGCAATGTGTATACATACACACACACACACACACATACATTCATACATACATACCACGGAGATCTCTTAGAAAATTCAATAACTCAATTAGGGTAAGCTAGGCAAGTCAAAAGCAAATGGTCACAATCTCTAAGTACTACCTTGCTAATAAAAATCCTGCCATTTAGAGACTCGGAGATGGAATTCTAATGACTGGTGTCTGCCCAAGAATGGCATCTTGACTAGATATACCCTAAAATCCTCATATAACAACCTTTATTGTTGTTCCTGCTTAAACTACTAAATGGGTTGCTGTATTTCATCTGCAGAGATGAACTGTAGCAGAACACATTCTTGGGGCGCCTTGGTGGCTCAGTCGGTTAAGTGTCTGCCTTCAGCTCAGGTCATGATCCCAGGGTCCTAGGATGGAGCCCCATGTCGGGCTCCCTGATCAGCGGAGAGCCTGCTTCTCCTCCCTCTGCCTACTTGTGCTCTGTCAAATAAATAAAATCTTAAAAAAAATAAAAAATAAAAAATAAAAACCACACTCTTTATATATTTTCTTTCCTTGAGTCATTATAATGGCTGTGCTGAACTGGCATCGGAAGAGTCCCTTTCATTAAGTTGGGTAGCTACAGAGAACCACCAGATAGCGTTCTTAGATCCAGTCTTTAGCCCTGTACAGCTGCACAGTCCTGAGCGAAGATGTCATACCTCAATGCTTGAATCGACAGATCTAGTGGAGAGTGTGTGTAAGCAACAGCCTATCAAGTGCTTGTTAAACTTTTTCTAGTCACAAAGCGATCAAATGTACTCAATATTCGCTAGCAATAGCCTCCTAGCCAAGTTTTCAGGTTCTTAACTAGTCCTCAGTTTCTTACTTAAGATGCAGTTCAATCCCAGATTTGCTCTACTTGGGGTCCTGAGATATGCCCTCACTCTACTTGAGGGATTCAGGTGCTCTTAAAAGTATCCAGAAGAGGGGCACCTGGGTGGCTCCGTCAGTTAAGCGTCTGCCTTTGGCTCAGGTCATGATCTCAAGGTCCTGGGACCGAATCCCGCATCAGGCTCTCTGCTCAGCAGGGAGTCTGTTTCTCTCTTTCTCTCCCTCTCTGCTTCTGCCCCCCACTTGTGCTCACTCTCTCTCTCTCTCTCAAATAAATAAATATAATCTTGAAGAAAAAGCACTTTTTGCTGAGTAATGACTTGAAGTTCACTCATATTAAGGTAAAACTTGAGTACTGATGGTGCCTTCCTTTTCTACTAATTAAAGATTCTAAAAGCCTCCATTCCAGAGGTATTAGTCTTTACAGTTTCCTTAGTTATTTAGACTGCGAAGCTCAGATTTCTATAATATGTGAACTAAATGACACACCAGGACACTCAAGTTTGGAGAAATTAAGCTTTATTTCAATAGACTATAAATGTGATAGTGTGAGATCAAAACCAGATTTTTAGTCTAAATGTCATCTGATTTGCCTACTTACAATCAGATCAATATTCTCGGTTTAAAAAAAGCCCTCAGATCAAAGATTATGAAGACCAAGATCATGGCCTCCATCTAGAACTTAAAAGTTCCCTCAGGTTAGCCAGCTCTAGAATATTCTGCTTTAATTTTAATGCACCTGAATATCCTACCATTCTAGTCCCTATCCTTTATCTTTAGGCCCATTTAAAAAATAAGAAATAGGGGTGCCTGGGTGGTTCAGTCGACAGAGCATCTGACTCTTGGTTTCGGTTCAGGGCATGAGGCTCAGGTCATGATCTCGTGGCTCTGTGCTCAGTGGGGAGTTTGCTTCTCTCCCTCTGCCTCTGCCCCTCCCCTGTGCCCACATGCGCCCGCTCACGTGCACGTACTCTCTTTCTAAAATAAATAAATCTTTAAAAAATTAAAAAAATAAATAAATGTAAAAATAGAGATAAAGTAGGATCATACACCAAACACACTAAAACACAGATCATGGCAAAACACTCACAATGCTATATTAAAATGAACCAAAGAACTGTGACAGAATACTAGACGAGCAAAGAGAATGAATAATCCACTGTTTATATACAACAATATAAATGAAGTTCACAACCTCAAGGTATAGTGAGAGAAGTCAGACACAAAAGAATATACACTTTTTCATTTCATTTTTAATAAAGCATAAAAACAAGCAAAACTAACCTGCGTTACTAGAAGTCGAACAGAGGTTACCCTTAGTGGATGGATAGTGACTACAAAGGGGCACAAAGAGGGCTAGTGAGGTGCAGGTAATGCTCTGTTTCTTCACTGGTTCCATGGTGTGCTCAGTTTTCGAAAACTCAGTGATTCATACATAAATAATAGCAGAACATTCATCTACTTGATTCTTCAAATAGCAGCAAAAGTAAAAACAACAACAATAATCTATCAGAACCACACACACACGCTTTTCGGCATATTTGCTATTCTTTACAACACAAAGTTAAAAGGAAAAAAGAGCCAAAGGAGCCACTATCAACAACAATCTAGCTCACCTGAGGCCCTAAATTTAATGATATGGGATCTCTGGCCAAACTGATAAACGGAAGCTCAGTCCCATTTGCTCTGAAAAGTGGCTTTTAGCTCTAAATAGATACTATTCTATGAATCTACATATTCATGTCTTCGCTGCCTAGATGTTTTCATTCTTTCATATATGATGACAGAAGGAAATTACAGTCCATTTGGGAACACAACCCAGCATGGCAGTTCCATATCCTCAGAGGTACCCAATTCAGAAAGAGGAAGAGGTTCTCCACTATGACTCTCTTGGGATCAGGACAGTCAGCTCTCAATCCATTGACAGAGAAACATGGATACGAGGTATGATGAGCCAGCCAAATTGGTTTTTAAAATAATAAATCTATATATATACAAAGCATTTTCCCTGGCAAGTGGCAGAGGAAGAAGTCAAAGATTCAAAGAGTAAGAAAGAACTGACCAGCACACCATCACGGCCAGAGGGGACCATGTAGCAAGGAATGCAGGTGACATTTAGGAGCTCAGAGCAGCCCCTGGTTGACAGCCAGCATGGAAATGGTGATCTCAGTCTTATGGCTAAAAGGAACTGAATTTTGCCAATGATTAAGAATGACCTTGGAAGATGTTTTTCCCAAATGGGAACTTTATGACGTCAATATCTTGGTTTCAGCCTTGTGATACCCCGAGCAGAGAATTCCATGCCATGCCAGACTTCAGACCTATAAAACTAGGAGCTAATAAATGGGTACTGTTTTGTAAATATAATAAAAATTTTATTTTATTTTTTAGATTTTTTATTTATTTATTTGACAGGGAGAGACACAGCAAGAGCAGGAACACAAGCAGGGCAAGTGGGAGAGGGAGAAGCAGGCTTGCCGTCGAGCAGGGAGCCCGATGCGGGGCCTGATCCAAGGACCCTGGGATCAAGACCTGAGCCGAAGGCAGACGCTTAACGACTGAGCCACCCAGGTGCCCCCCCAATTTTATTTTTTTAAAAGACTTTCTATTTATTTACTTGAGAGAGAGAGAGAGAGAGCACACAGAAGCAGACTCCCCACTGAGCAGGGAGCACAACGCAGGGCTCAATCCCAGGACCCTGAGATCACGACCTGAGCTGAAGGCAGATGCTTAACCGCCTGAGCCACCCAGGCGCCCCATAATAATTTTAAAAATCCAAAAAACAAATGGGCCAAACAGGCTTGCCGTTAAGTTTATTAATCCTTTTATAATAAATCCTTTAAAAGAGTTTACTAAAAACAGGAAGGCTACTAATGGAATTTCTCAAGAAACAGTGAGATGAGGAAATGAAAGGAAAAGCAGGACATAAAGCACAGAACTCCGTAATTAGTCCTACATCAACTGGGCTCTGCTAGTGTTGGTGGCAGACCAACCTCAAGGTAGAGTGAGAGACCCTTGCGCAGACAGCTGCGAAGGAACAGGTACCGGCTTTGGTGTTCACAGAGCTCTCCCCTAATCCAGCCTCAGCCATCTTCTGGCTGCATGACCTTAAACAAGTTACTTTACTTCTCTTAGGCTCAATCTCGATTCTGACACTGGTAGGTTTACACCAAATTAGAAAAAAAATTCATATAAAAAAGCTTACGAGTAATATTTAACATTCAATAAACAGCAAAAATACGAAAGTCTGAAGACAGCAACTGCTGTTTAGGGATGCAGAGAAATGAGAACTCAGCCACTGCAAGAGAAAGTATAAGCTGAATCAACTGCTATAAGCCACAATTTGGCAGTATCTACTGAATGTGAAGAGGTACATACTCTACTACACAGTAATCCCACTGCTGGATACATGTGCCCTAAAGAACTCTGTGCAGAAGGACACATGTACAAGACTGTTCACAGCAGCACTATTCTATAACAGGAAAACAGATAAACAGTGATATAGTCAATGAATTATTCAAATAGCAGCAATGAAAATTTAAAAACTCACCAGAGGTACATTCACCAACTCTTACAAATATAATGGTGAATGAAAAAATACAAGTGGCAGAGATTACTC